AAATGTACATTTGCTTGGCAAAATGACTTTGTGAGATTGCTTGTAACTGCTTCAGATATATTAATTACATTTCCAATATCTTCTGAACAATGTCCACTTCCTTATTTGGTGTACTGTATATGTTCAAAAAACACCGAGTTTTAAATACTGAGCTGCACTTGTGAAAGATGATGACTCATTTTTCCTTATTAGTCTGTAGAATGTTTTCCCAGGTTTTTCCTCTCAAATTACTGAACACTGGTGTTTGCCTGAATAGTACTTGCTTGCCATTTAGTGTCAATCTGGTGTAATTAGGCATCAGAGTGAATTGAAAAAGTCAAACTAAAAGGCCATGATTTTATAGATATAGTATTGTTATATATTTCAAGTTTGCTACTAATCTTTTACTCATTTATTTTACTTTTACTATAGATTTATTAAAATTTCAATTTCCATTATTTGTTTATGTGAATCATGCCTATATCCATAAAACATGTTGCCAACAAATTTTGCCTGAAAATGGAATAGTCCAATAAGGTATATATAGTACGTTATCATAACCCTTTCAATACCAATCCTGAATATTTTCGTGTCTGAAAATTACTTCTTCTGTGATGTGATACCTTGTCATCTGGTATATAGTTACCAGGAGAAACATCCTTTATCCATCTTCAGGATATAAGACCAGTTCTTGGAGATGGATGCAGTTCATTGCTCAGAAACGGTAACTGTCTACCTGACTACATGGTGTCGCATCCCAGAAGATGTAATTTTTATATTCACAACCATGGGAATCTCAGGTCTCATACTCAGAGTCTGCCTAGAATGTGCACTGCGCCAACTCTAAATCTATTAATTTCCGATTTGTTGTTTTTCCCTTCCCACCAGCACTGAATGTACTCATGTTGTATGTTCTTGGAGCATTTGAATTTTTGAAGCTGCTCAAATAATGTTTAATTGAAGAGGTAGTAAACCTTTCTTCTCTGCAAAAAATCAATGTTTTCTATGGTAAAAGGAAATCTAGTGTGGAAGTATGCTAGTGCTTCAAAAATGTGGTGGTAAATAGGTTATTGCAGGGCATTCAAGGAACACATATATTCAAATATAAAAATTGATCACTTGTAAATGTTTTATAATATTGTAGTAGACGAACTGAATATACGTGTATGTATATTATGTACTTAATTCCTCAACCTGCTTATGTCAAAATAAAATATTTATGTTGCGCTGTTATCTTCATGTCTATCTGCATGTGGGAAGTGTTTCTAATTGCTCCAAGTTTATGAGATTGAAAATAAGTGTGTAATTGGCAATATATACATATACACACATGGTTGCACATACATACATGCCTTAAAATTCTGTTGCATATAGTGATCTTCAGAAACAAATGCCAAAGCAACAAATATAATAAATTGTTTATACTGTTTTTATAAATGTGATATGTAACACATAAATAGACAATTCGGGTTAACTGTAACCCATTTATGAGGTACACATGGGTATAAGAACCCTGGTACATATGTTGCCACTGCAGGCATTACAGGGACACCACTAAAGTTCACTGTTTTCAAGAGGATGTCATTAGTTACTGTATAATTCTGCAGAATACTGAAATTTATCAGACTATTTAAACTATATATATATATAGAGAGAGAGAGAGAGAATGTTATATTTATAAGCAAGCAGACATCTGAATTGAACAAAAGACGATGCACAGTTTACAGTGGTTAGTTTTGTTCTCAGTTTTACAGTAATAAGACTTTGATGCTGGCAGGAAAAGAGTTAAGTATACATTCCAAAGCCAGTGTTGTAGCTAGCTAGTTTAGTAGTATATAATTTAATGAATCTTAGTGATGTGGTCACAATTTAGCATGATAACATTGCTGTAATATCTGGTATATCTTTACCCTCTCGTTTGACAGGGCAGCCCTGATACTCTTGCCACCACCTAAAATGTAAAGGTAAAATTATCTATTATAATGTATTCATAACCAAAGACTTGTGTGTATTGTGTCTACAAAAGTATAACAAATGTATCTAGTATATATAAATAGATTATAGTTCAGTCACATGTTTGAGAGTGCTTATTATATCCTCACATTTGCAAAACTTTTCTGATATCTCTTTTCATCATGACATTCTGAAGCTAACTACAAAAGATTTTCTCACCCAAAATGATGATGATATTGAGAGAGTCATTGTAATTGAAATCTGAATGCACTGTATATGGAGGTGAAAGGTTACAACTATTTTTCAAATCTGGAGCAACTCTGAAATTACATAGTCATTATGAAGCACTGCGGCCAGTTCTTTTTCACTTACCACTTGAGGATATATTTGATATGTTGATAATTACATAACATCCTTAAAAGGGAGTATTATGCATTATGTTGATCATACATCATGTTGAGCTTGAACATTTACATTCCATTCTATATTTCAATATATTTTAACTCTTTAATCAGGCCATACTTGAAACACTAATTTGTACTGGGTTATGAACACTGGACTATGGAAGTTAACTTAACACATTCACTTTGTACCAATTTAATTTTAAAAGTTCACTTTTATGTTAGCTTTAAATGTCACAGAATAAAACACTTAACTTTAAAAAACCCTTCTGTATCCACCTCCTTATGACTACGAGGCTCAGATTATTGCCTTGTAACATATCAACAATGAATCAAACAACTGGTGTAGAATATGTTACATATTAAACACTAAAAATAGGCAGTTCATAAATGAGACCGGCCAGCGTATTGCCTCCTGTACTGTAATTATGCCCTGTTGAAGAATGCCATCTTCTGGGATGTGGTGCTGTGTAGATCTTGTGTGAACCAACGTTTCAGGGGAATGTATCGCCTCCATCTTCAGGGTAGAAAATTCTGCGAGTGAGGAACCAGCGTGAGCACGTGGCTGCAGCCACATGGCACCACATCTCAGAAGAAGGCATTCTTCATAGTCACCGCTGTGAAAACCTCAAATCTTACATGAGAGATGTTTTTGGGGCACTAAATTATAAGTTATCAATATATTAAATATATAAATTAAATTGAAACTAAAATTATAATAAAGTGCACTGTATTGTCATAGTTACAAAGTAACTGTTTCATAGAGAGTTGCTCTGCTTTCCTGTAGGTGACAGGGCTCAAGTTAAGTACTAAATCTAAGTACTTCTCTGTAATATTTGTTCCTATAAGTCTATAGTCAACATCACTACAGGAAAAAAGCAGCATATTTGCAGATGCTACAGTTTACAAGGTATTCTTATAAATGTGTTTGCATGAAATGGTTGTGTGCTATAATGTAATGTGCTATGTAAAGATATATATGTTCCTTATTAAATGTACAATAAATTGGTGATTTCTGAGTGTTACAGGATGTATTACATCATATACACGTATTTACAATAATTTCTGTCTCATGATGAAACGTTGTAGTTCATCACTTACAAAGAAAAATTTTTGTTGTACCAGTAGGTGTTTAAAGTGAAGATGAAATTTGAAATGTGCTATAACACACACAAATTCAATAAGTTTTGTACAAGATCATATTTCTTGGCCCTATATTCTGTGTACTATAGACATTATTTCATTGCAGCTGAAGCTTGTTTCCCACATAATTCATACCAGTTAGTACAATCCCATTTTGCATTTCTGCAGTAATACATACATATGCCAGAAAAGGTAATCAGTTTGGTACTCTTTTTTGTAATCTCATTTCATTCATTCATCAGTAATCTATCAGACGACAGGTCCACAGTCTCTTCCAAAACAGCTCCTCCACTTAATGCGATCTCAGGCTTTCTCCTTCAATTGTAATATAGCACTGAAAATATGCTTGTGATAATTTATATTGGAGGGCATAGAGATTCTGAAGTTACTGGAGAAAAGCCTAAGAATGTCATGTAAGATGCCTCAGATACAGTAAACCCTTGTCCAATGTGCATTTGCTTATACACAAAAACAAATAACAATGCTGAAGATGGAAATCTGAATGTACACAGTCTGCCTCGGCCACAAGCCTGAAACAGTGCAGTTCAGTCTCTCTAATGTTGAGATAATGTTTTTACATCCTAACACATGAGTCCTGCAACCTGACAACCAAGGAGTTATCAAGAGTTAAGTCTCACTGCACTCAAAATTCCTATGGGTGTGCAATCCAAGCTCTACCATGATTCTCAATGCACAACGTCGACACCATGATTCCATTGCCGCTGCGAACACTTCTGTAGGAGTCTGTTTTGACCACTGGAAAATCACTGATGCAATAGCGGCACGACTGGTGAATGTGTGACCACGGAGAGTGTCTCATCCATTGTCACAATTGATGAAAAGAAAGTCCCATTCATGCCTTCATCACGTGTCAACATCGCCTGGCAAATTGCCATGCGCGCAGCCTTGTGATCGTCCGCCAGCATTCGTGGCACCCACCTGGAGGACACTTTCCGCATTCGCAGGTCTTCATGTAGGATTGTGTGCACAGATCCCACAGAAATGCCAACTTTGGAGGCGATGTTTTCCACACTCAATCGGCGATCCTCCAAAACAACTTTCTCAACTCGCTCGACCATGTTGTCAGACCGGCTGGTGCGAGGCCGAGATTGTTTTGGTTCGTTGTCACACGACGTTTGGCCTTCTTTGAACTGTCGCGTCCACGAACGCACATTTTTCACATTCATGACACCATCACCACATGTCTCACTCAACTGGCGATGAATTTCAATGGGTGTCGCACCACGCAAGTGGAGAAAACGAATGATTACTCGCTGTTCTTGTAACGAAAACGTCGCCATTTTAGGTATCAAAAACACTCCTCACTCTCGCTGCCACCACTAGAGTTCTGTGTGCTGTACAGTGCTGCCATCTCTGTCACGCATTCACAAAGAGTGCACACGTATTTTAAACTGAACCACATGTGTCTATCTGCTCCCAGTCCTGAGAAAAAAATTGGAGACCTTAGAACTTGAACGCCCCTCGTATTAATGGGGGACTATGTGGTTATGCTTGAAAATCCCCATTATCTCCTTTCTGCGATCAAACCATGTTTGTATCAGTCAAAAATGACATAAAATGTGTAATCTTTGCAATGGCATGCAAAGCATTCAAGAACATTGAAGTTTTTAATATACTGGAAATTTAATTAAAATGGACGAAGACTGAGGAAGAAAGAACAGCAAAACAAATGTAGCATGCAAGCATAAGGGGAAGAGAAATTTAAGGAGGCTGCTGAAGAGATGGCATAGAGTGAACAGGTCACATAGCCAAATACCTGACAGGATGATGGTGACTGTGACCACAATGACAATAATGATGTTATCAGTATCTTGATATGAAATTCATAATTACACCATTCTTTTCTTTTAGATATTTTTTCCATATGGGTCACTAGCTTGTAGTGGTGGCCCACTGGCAAGGTAGTCATAGTATATTATGTCTATTATATCTAAAATCAAATTTCACATGATGACAGATGATAGAAAAGTTTTATGAACACAGCTAAAAACAAAAGATATCAGAGGTTAACTTAGTAGTTAAAATACAGTTCTTCACATACAAGAATAAAATGGAAGTCATACAACATAACTTACAAGTTGAAGTTATTTGCAATAATATGCGAAATATATACATAAACTACAATTGTCATCATAGTATATCCAATCATTCAGATTCATAGTCTAGACATGCAGTTTATGTAATATGTATTTGATAAAAAAAAAAAGGTAAAGTTATCCCTGTAACAGGCTGTGCAGGCCCATGGGGTTGTGAGAGGTTGAGGCTCCCACATCTTCTAGACAGTCAGTTCACAGATGGTGGTAAGGTTGTCAGCCTTATGCACCGGCAGCCTTTTACCCCCCCCCAGGAAGATTCCTGATACTCATATCTGTTAGAGGCTGTGTCGACCCTAGGGCCATAGTGCGGCTGGAAGGATTAGGTAAATTGCAAAAATCCACCTCATCAGGACTCGAACCCGCGATCTTCCAGCTTGTAGCATAGTTCTTCAACCAAGTATGCTACCTCATGCCCCACATATTTGATATATTTTGTAAATATTATCAAGTAAGTGTATGATTCTTATTTTTGAATAATGTTACTTTTTATTATATGTAACTGCTAATTACAGCATACCATAATAAGATGCTTTAGTACAGAAGTATGTAGCCTTTAAATTACAGGTCACAACCCACAGTTTTAAGAATACTAGTAGACACCATCTTTTATGATATAATATTCACATCTTTGCATTCAGATTAGTAACAAATATACCCTTCATGATCTGGCAGGTCCATATTGTGATTTTATAAACCTTTACAACTTACCCTAGTAAATAATTATCATATTTGTCATAAACGTAGGGTATCGCAGTATCCATAGAGTAGATCTCATGATGTGTCACACTGAAGTACATTCCCAAATATTTGTCTTAAAGTACGTCACTGGAAAGCCTTATCAGGTTAATGTGGGCTGGCACTGGGGAAACACAATTTTAACATGAGTCATACTCAGACATCATAACTATCATTGTAATCAAGAGATAAGATATTTACTGCTATAAAATTAAACTGTAGTCTCTTTTACTGTGCCTTAGACACTAACTTGCACTCAGTCAGAACCACCTCTTTAGTACAGGTAGAATCATGTTGCTAAGGAAACTTGGTCTTGTCATGTGGAAGAATCTGGTGCTTCGGAAAAGACACTGGATAATAACGTCATTTGAGATTGTGATTCCTGTTGTACTTTTTATTCTGGCTGCTGTGGTACGGTCACTTATGAAGTCATCAGATGTTAATCTTACCCCAGCACAGTATTTTCATGTTGAAGATGAAGAAAGCCTGAGACTGTACTTCAGGTTTTATGACTCACCACTACTTTATGCTCCAAATAATAGTTTTACAAGATATGTAATGGATAATGTTGCATATGGTGATTATTTATCAGTTGGTAAGTAAACTTAATTTCTTTATGTGCTCAACAAAATAAGGTTATTCAGTAAAAATTGTAATACAGCTGTAATACCTGGCATTAAATTAGTGTGTGACATTTATCTGATTCTAGTATATAACAAGTACATTTTATTTATACATCAAAATTATGAAACATGTTATTTTTGGTACATGACAATATCACAATTGATCTTGTTATCTAAACAATATTCATTATCCTGTACAAGTTTCAGATTGTCACATGTTAGTGACTAAGACACAGGGTTTGGATTGATTGAATTTATGGAATGCTTGTAACTCCTAACTCAAATCAAAGTTAGTTGGAGTCAAAGTTATGTTACAACTGACATCCAGTCTGTCTTGGTGTCAAAACCCATCTGGGAACCAAGACCAGATTTTTATTACTCTGAGACAGTTTCAAGTTTGTTGATGTGGGGTTCCCTCTCTGATGAGAGGACAGGTCTGTCACTTACAATTGCTGCTGGCCTTCACTAGTGCAGTCATTCTTGGGCCCAAGCCCCTAGAGACTCATGACCATATCATACTGTCTCAGATTCAAGACTCCTCCAACCTGAAGGAACAGGGTGGCCTGGTTATACACCCAGGCACTGAATTCCCTTTTTGTCACCTCCTGTGACTCACAGAGCTATGGTGAAGGTATTGGAACAGCTTCCATATGAGCCAAACTTGTAACTTCTGTGGTGGTTCTCATTATATAGTCTTGGAATGAACTGTGCAAAATATGCCTCTTCTAACAGTTCTCTCTCTCCACTGCCCTCAAATAAGTGTTTTGGTTGCTGTGGAAACTCCTTCACTCCTTGTTTCCTAGCAATGAACATCTTTTCTTGTTAAACTATTCAGGCATTTCAGCCATCGTCACAATATTTAAAAAGGTTATTCCAGTTATTTCTGAAAAGTATGCTATGGTTTCAAACATCACATTTTGGAGTTTTGAAAATTAATATTGTAATAAACCCTTGTCCATAAAGTGACCACCTATGTGGTCTAGTGGTCAGAGTTCCTGTCTACAGATCCAGAGGTCCTGGGTTCGATTCCCAAAGCTACCACGTTTTCTGAGAAGTAGTGTGGCCGGAATGGGACCCACTCGGCATCGTGAGGATAACTGAGGAGCTACTTGAATGGAATAGTAGCGGATCCGGTCTAGAAAACCGAAATTAACGGCTGTGGGGATTCGGTGCGTTGACCAAGCAACACACACACTATTCGCTTGTGTCCGTAGGCACGGTTGGCACTAACTTCGCCGACAATCGGCAGTCTCTCGGTCGGGATAGTTCGCTTGCGGACTAAAGCCACTGAGCTTTTTTTCCCCATAAAGTTCCAAGACAGGTTTAACATTTCGGCTTAGGTAAATGTTGGGCAATTCCGAGGAAAAGTGTTCTAAATACGTTACAATTTATTGTGCTATTGACGTTAGTTCGCTCAACCTCCGCTAGGCAGCGGAAAGACCCATGCAAATTGTCATTTGCGCACGTGCTGCGAGAGGAGTTTACATTCAAATTGATCAGAGAGTTGACGTAAAATTTTGTGTGAAGCTGGGCAATGCAGCCACAGAGGCATTGCAACTTCTGCATGATTCCTACGGCGATGAAGCTTTATCTCTGGCGCGAGTGTTCGAGTGGCACAGGCGATTAGTATCGGGCAGGATGTCGGTTGAAGATGACGCAAGTTCAGGCCGGCCTTCGAGTTCCCGAAAAGAAGACAACGTGGTTCGCGTCAGAGACATGGTACGGGAAGACCGTACTGTTACAGTTTGCATATTAGCTGATGTCTTGAATACCAATAAGTCGACCTACCACCAGATTCTGCCAGAGGACTTCGGTAAACGAAAACTTAATGCCAGACTAGTCCCGCACTAACTCAGGATCAAAAGGTNCCACAAATAAGAATGTAAAAAATTGTAACTATTGTAATTTTAATCTACTTATATATCAAATTGTTAATATTCAGAATTAACTTGACTTGTCATATATCATGTACAATGATCTACAGTGACGAAATAAATCAATCAATCAATCAAAAGGAGGTGCCAGGTTCAATTTGTCCCGATTTGTTACACGACGCGAAGGAGGATACCACGTAAGTCAACGGTATCATTGCCGAGGATGAATAATCATGGTGTTTCCAGTACGACCCTCTGCTCCCTCTGACGAGGAGGCAAAGCGCCGAATGACGGTCAGTGGGTTCGCCAGCATCAAGAAAGTGAGGCAGCAGCCATCGAAAAAAGAAGACTATGATAATCGTTTTCTTCGACACCAGGTGTATTGTTCATCACTGAGTTCTGCAAGGGCAAACAGTCAACCAGTAATTTTACATCTCCGTACTCAGGCATATGCGCGAGGCACCTGTGGGCATCAGGACTGTGGACTTTGTTGCATGACAAGGCAAGAAGAGCTTTGAATATGGTCCAAATGTTATAACAGTATCTTATACGCTTTAACTTTCCTGAAGCGTCCTTTACATATGGCATATACACACAGCCCAGAGTATTTTCTTCTTTTTTTGGATGACTGCTACTCTTGGAATTAATACACAAGCCAATGAAACCTTTAGCAAAACCACTGAGCTGAAGATCACGTTTCAGGTTACTGTTTTCATTAAACAATCTTGTCTTGTGACATATGGTGGAAGCTCTATTGTGAGACTCTGAATTAAACCTCTTTTTCACATTTGGTTTGGTTTGGTTAGATATGAAATTGAGACATTTGCCAGTGTGGGTGAGTTTTCTATAAACTATAGTGACTGGTGTCATTTCTTTCCTGATGATCAGAACATCTCACTGACGGACTCTATTTCCTTAGTAAACTGGATGGAAGACCTTAAATTATTGAGGTGGTTTATCTGTAACTGCTCTAGGCCATGAGGCCAGACCACAAGTGTGTAGTCAATATACCGAAGCCACAGTGATGGTTTATATTTCGCTGAATCAAGAGCCAGTTTCTCAAACTGCTCCATAAAGACATTGCTAATGATGGGTAAGAGACAGCTGCCCATTGCCATGCCAACTTTCTGGTGGAAGAACGTTTTGTCCACCTGAAAAAAAAAACTGATCTTGAATGTTATACACTATCGTCAGAATCCTGTAGAATCTACTGGAAAAATATGTTTATTTAAAAATTACCGTGTGCCCACTCTCACATATGGAGCATAAAAAGGACGTGGACATAGGCAGATATTAATAGTTAAACAGTAGCTGAAATAAGACTTTTAAAAAGTGTAGAAGGAAAAATGAGGGGGCAGAGAACATGGATGAAAATTTGAGAGAATTTAAAGATAAATACACTGCAAAATAAATTAGTATATAACAGCATAAGATGGCATGCACATATTTTAAGAATGAAAGGAGCTACAGCACTGAAATAGTTTTGAACTTGAACCTAAGAAAAAACCCAAGAGGAAGACCAAGATCTGGATGGGAAAAACAAATAGGAATAACATTATGCAGAAGGAAGGGAGAACATGGGAAGAAAATAAGGAGAAGGAGTTTTGGAAAGGCAGAGATAGATGGAGATTGGTTGTTACACAGCCCATACAAAAACAAAAATATCAGAAGAAAAAAAATGAGAAAGAAACACAGCCACTACATTCATTACATGATTGTATCATCATCGAATAGTTCACTTTCTGTACCCAGTAATTTTGATCGATTAATCATATTTCTGTTAAGATTTTGTACCAACTCGCTGGTATCACGTATTTATTGGCTCAAATGATGTCATTTCTTTAATCAAGATCATATTTCTGATGCTCTGCAGTCTGATTTAAATGTGCCTATTCACTCAAAATTTTCACTTTCTTTTCCACTAACAGTCAGCAGACTTTCAGGTGATGATGAAGGTAAATAATATGTGTGACAACTTCTTAATATTGTTTCAGAGTGACGCATATTACACATTTAAGAAGGAATCCTGCTATATATATATTAATTGTGGTAAGCTCTTTATCACATGAAATACTGAGTAAACAAATGTGCAATTGACAGAACTGGGCGCAGTAACAGTATCACAAAGGGGGCACATGGTAGCATGGTTTAGGCACTATGCTACAAGCCAGAAGATAACAGGTTTGATTCCTGATGAGGTCATTGAATTTTTCAGTTTACCTAATCTTTGCAGCCACACTATGGACCTGAGATTGACTAAACCTCTAAGAAATGAGTACCAAGGATCTTCCTTGGGGTAAAGAGTGGCAGGGGCATAAGGCTGACAAGCTCACTGCCATCTTTGTCTAGAAAGTGTGGGAGGCTTGACATATCACAACCCTATGGGCCTTCACGACCTGTTCCAGGAATAGCCTTACCTTAGTTTACAATATCACAAGAAAATCTAATGAGAAAAAGAGATTATAGTATATCTCCATTTCATAAAGAAGATTGCGGGATGCACAATTTCAGGCCATAAAATAAAGGAAGAAATTGGAAGGAACATGCTAACAGGCTTCTAAAATATCAACCAAAAGGAAGACTTTTGAAGTGACAGAAAGATTCTGCTTTGTATTGTCTGTAACAGGTCTCAATAGACTTAATACTGGAAAATGTGTTGATATCATTTGGAATCCGACAGTATGCTGTGATCTAGAACAAGGTGGACCAAGAGGTCTTCAGAAGAGTCATTCAGTGTGGCCTGTATATAATGTACAAGATTTGCTTGAGGTGCAATATTTTGCCAAGGCTCAAGCCTTTATTATGCATGACTTTTCACAGTTCATTGTCATCTTATTATATATAAACTATCGTTTTTATGTAGCATCATTGATACAATGAGTGTGAGTCAGTGATAGACATGATGATGGATACAATGTCACCATCATAAATATCACATTCGAATATTATTTTCAGTTGGAGCAATGAATCTTTTGGCCCTACTTTTAAGGCCATAACAATTTTCCCAGCTGTACCATAATTTCCATTAAACCTCATCCTAATAGAAGTTCACCTATGTAAAAAAGAAAAGAATAGCTTAACTATATTCTTGTAAAATTACTTTTGTTTCAGATTTACAGGCTTTTGACACTGAAGATGAATTGCTCAGCTACTATGATGGCATGAATTTTTCTAGCCGTAGCGTTCATGCAGTTATATTTGAAGATCTGCCTCCAAATGGAGATCCACCAGATCATTTCAAGTACAAAATACGTGTTTCAGATATAAAATTTCATACTACAGAGTTGTTCCCCGAATTCTCTTCTTGGACATTATTTTTTGGTAAGGATGTTAGAATATTTAATAAATATTTTACTTAAATCCCATTTATCACTGTGGTCACTACCAATGTTGTTGTGGGAAAATTTTAAACCTATTTAAAATAGGTGGAGAAGAAAGATATTTTACATTGTTAACTGTTTTGTTAATTTCAGTGTGTAACTACCTAGACTACAACAAAAACAATAAATACCATTATAAAAAATGTAACATTAAACCATCATCTTCTTACAGAGTTCTATGTATATTCCTCCTTCCTGAGCCTCCAACTGCTAATAGACAAAGCATTCATGGAACTTCAAGGAGTAAATACATCTGCATTTCAGGTAAGTTCAGTGCTTGCCTATAAGTTCATTAGTGGTCCTACAGGGCCAGTTATTAAGGTCTGTGTAATTACTTATTTGTTTCTTAGTTCTTTTAATGCCTGTATACACACACACACACACACACCTGAACCAATATTTATGGAACTTATTATGTATATTATGCTACCTAAGTCAATCTAAACAGCTTACTTCACAAAGCCCTCTCGTGAGTAATAGCAACACTGAAGCTTCACAATTTGTATTTTTTTTTTTTTTTACTTCATCATACACAGACTGAAGTTTCCCCCCCTCATATCAAATGCACATATTGTATATAAAGGGAAGTAGGTAATTAGTTCTCCCCAGAACTTCATATATGCTTTATGAGTTGAATTACAATGCACAACGAATAGACATTTAAGACACAAAGCAGTTATCTTCAGCAAAACCAATGTAAATTATGTAACAGAGTAAGTAAAATGTCCATTGTGAACAATTATGTTTTTCTGAAATGTTCTGGTTAGGTATTAAATATTTCAGATTTGAGTTACTCACAGTTGTGAGCTTGAAGATGAAGATCTTCTGGGATGTGACACCATGTAACGCAGTGTAATACTTACAGCTTGGAATAGAAAAGAGTATGTAACTAGTATATTTTGTGACATAGCCAAGGCCTTTGACTGCGTTAATCATGATCTTCTATTAATGAAACTGCAGGGTGTATTATTGCAATGGTTTAAATCTTACCTCCAATATAGGAGGCAAAGGGTGGAATTAAATTATTATAAATAACAAATATTATTCTAACTGGGAAATTGTTGGTTGTGGTGTACCTCAGGGATCGGTGTTGGGACCCTTACACTTTATTATATACATAAACGATTTCCCCCTTGAAATAAGTAAAATTTTGGAAGTTATTATGTTTGCAGATGACACAAGTGTTTTGGATAATTTTGAAACCAATAACTCTGTATATGTCATTGGTACCAGAAGGAATGACCACCTTCATATACCTTCAACACATTTATCATCCTATCAGAGAGGGGTGTTTTATTCAGGCATCGAGCTATTTAGTACTCTGCCATCAAATATCACAGTGGTTTTTCCACGACCTTTGTGCGTTGTCCTGAGAACTTGAGCTATTCTGTCTGAGGCTTGATTTTATATTTTATTGGACGAAGGACAAATGATGTGTATTCATCATGAATTTGTAATATGTGACATGTTTTATATCCAGCCCTACGGGGAGTTGATTGGATCCATGAAATGAAAAATAAATGCAAATGTAAATGTAAATAGCAGTTTAGTGATGTTTCTTAGGAATGTATTGCCTCCATATTTAGAGCTGAAGAGTAACCCAGACAATCACTCACCAAGAAGTAGATGGCAAACAGATAGCTAAGCTTGACATCCACATTCCTTATATTTTAATTATACTCGTACTTAATTTAAATATGAGTAATGTTCTTTTGAAGTTAACCATAAGTAGACATTATCGCTCATTGTTACTGGTTAATTTCATTGACTGCCACGTTTATTATGAATTTTAAAAATTAATGGAAGCAGTTATTTATTACATGTGGAAATAGCAGGACAACCACATGAATTCCTGTCATAACGTAGTAGTTGAACTTATGCAATCAGATTGACTGTGTCAACTAGACATGTTAATGACAGACTGAGCATTCTTTGGTTTAGTGTATTTTATTTACCCAGTTTCCAAGTGACATCCTTTTAGTGTAGATTGGTTAGTAATATTTAGAAATGCCATGAGAATAGCATGAAGTATAAAGGTATATTACCAATAAAAATAATTACATCATAATTTAGCTTGCCATGCAAGACCAGAAGTTAGATAAGTAGCATCCTTCTGCGTTATGATTTTGAGGGCATTACATTTGATGAGCTTTTGTTTGTGTGTGTGTGGGAGGGGGGGGGTCTTGTGATTAATGAGTATTAATTTCTGGTGCCTGCATGTTGATACTCTGACCATTAATTGGCAATATGAGTATGTTATGCAAAAATGTAAATAGAACCTCTAATAACTATGTTCTGTGAATGATGACTTTCACCACAGTGTCAGGGAATTTCATGGTAATTTGGTGCTAAAGCTTCAAGAAAGTTGCAATGTTTTTAATTGAGGAGACCGAAGGAATTTTGTATGGCATGGGGCAGCGTTTAAGCATACACCAGCTCTGTTGTCATGGGTAAAGCCAATGAGGCTCTTAAATGAAGTTCTGTGACAGTAACCATTTACATAATATCTCATACAACACTGCAGAAGTATGTTATTTCTCAGAACTGTAACAACAGATGTAAGCTGATATTTTACCAGAATTGTCACTTTTCAACATTTTAACAAGACTGTTTCTTTTAAATACAGTGCCAAAGAGCATATATCAAGTTGTATTTACTTTCACAGAAAGGTAAAAGCTTCTTTTTTACAGAATAAGTCCGGTTGTGCTGTAAATGTTTCCTCTTTTCATCAAGTGAAATAAGCTGGAGATTCACCACTGGACTTCATAGTGGGTCAATATAATCAAGTTCACACCTTCACAACCTTTTGATCAGGGGAGATTGTCAATCAAAATAACCTCTTTCCTTGGCCCTCTGAAATGTTTCTTTTCAAGAATTTTGCATGCAATTCATGCTTTGCCCATCCTAAATATATTTGCAGCAAATTGTAAGTTTTGTTTTGGCTCCCATCAAAATTAATTGAATTAGATAAAGACACTTGGCATGTATCGATAAGATATTTCAAGTAAATTGTAAAGATATTGGGCCCCCCTCTGTAGTATATTCTGTTATATTCATTTGTGAGATCATGTCATAATTACGTGCTTTCAAAATAAACAATACAGAATCCATATTACAGCAGGGACCTTGCATGGAAAGGTATAGAGAAGAAGCAGTAATTTTGTAATATACGAGTAAATGAGATATTTGCATGTCGCAGGTCAAACAATTTCAAAAGACAGTATTGTTTTTTACAGTTTTCAGTTCAGGCATTCCCATATCCTGAACGTGCTGACTATCAAGATGCCTTCACACAAATTTTCTCAGTCCTCCTACCATTGTTCACGGTTCTCAGTTTTGTGATGCTATGTCCATCCATTATGAAGAGAGTTGTAGAAGAAAAAGAAAGTGGAGTGAAAGTAAGTATGTTATGTCCTATTATAATACCTTAATGATTGATTTGTATGTGACCTAAGAATAATTTTAATAACCATGGACATACAGAATTCAATAAAAGAATAAGGTAATTATTAATAGTGTATGAAAGGGGAGAATCATGGCCTATTTTAATCATTCAAGAGAGGAAACCAAATAAATCTCAAGAACTATAGATAGTCTCATTTGGGATTTGACTCACTTATCCTCCAAGTGAAGTGCAGACATAATCTGTTCAGAATTAATTATGACGTTTTTTTAAATATTTATAATTTGACAAGCACATTTAATATAAATAAACTGTATGATATCCTCATGTTTCCATTGTAAGTTTATGTGACACTGTATTGGTTTGAGCTTGCATACTAATAGTTCCAACAAGCCCTGGTTTCAGGTGCCTGTTTCTCATTAAATGGAAGGGGGGAACTTTTTGTTTGGAGATTAGCAGTAATGACTGGGATTAAACCAAGCATCCTTTGACTATTAGGCTCATACACTAACCACTGGAACTGAAGGACGGAATAATTGTTACAGCTATACTTGTCTTGGATCATCAAATACAATGGGACAGAGCAGATATCACACAAAGAAGAAAACAGGGTACAGGAAACAGTAAAAATAACCTGCAGGAAACAGATTCTTCAGAACAAAAGAACAGATCATTAACTAGCTCAGCCTAGATATAAGGTCCACAAGGCCCTATATACTGTTAAAAAGATTCACATGTGGCACAATTATAACAACCATCCTTCCTGAGATACCAGCATAGCTCAGTTGTTACTGTTCAGAACTAGTAATCAAAGGGTTATGGCAATCAATACCGACTTTTGCTACTAATCTCTGAAATAAGAACAAATAAAACATATCTGTAGTTTGATAATGAGTGTATATCAAATAATGGATGTCAGCATAATTTTTTATATATTTATGTTTGGTATTAAGGATATTTTCACAGCATGATATTTATATAAAAAATCTAAGACCCTTATTTGAATATTGCAATCATCAGTCACCTTTAAAAACTTTTCTACAAGGAAATATCAGCTCTTATCTTCTAAACTCTACCTCTGCATAGCTTTCTTTTGCATAAACTGGTACTAGGTGAAGGTCAAAATTGCATGTTTAGTATTATGCAGTTCCAGGAGTAGAGTTCCAGGGATATTATAGGCCAACAATATCATAGATGCCTTTAATAGGGGAAATTACGTTTAAATCCTATTTAACCCCCTTTGTTCGACTGATGAACATCACACATAATTTGGAGTAATGGAAGAAAGACAAGAAAAGTTCCCTCCTCCCCCTAACATTATTCAAACACCGACATTATTCAGAGTCTATCCTGGGGTTATACATCCAGTATGTGCAATTTTTGGTCTGTGGAATTCCTTTACAAATTTACTGAATAGAGGCACATATTTAATAATCCTGTACTACAGGTTATTATTGCTTTGCTCCATTTATGTACATTTCAAACATCACTGCCTTCCCATAGCCTCTGTCATTAGAATCTCAAATCTTAATATAAATTTTACTTGCCCTTTTATAAGAATATTAAAAATGTTATTACTACAATGCTTGTACCTAATCAAGAGCCATAAATATTGTGACATATTCAAGACAGTTAGTTCCTTGGTAATCAATTTAGACAGAATACTTCTACACAGACTTGCATTACTTAATATACTATTCTTTGGAACAATAATTTAAAATATGTCATTAACAGGAGCTGATGAAGATGATGGGATTAAAGACATGGATGCTGTGGTTTAGTTGGATGGTGAATGCTTTACTTGTGAATGTAATTACAGTCACCATTATCACCGTTTTGCTTAAAGTGCCATTTGGTGATACTGCAATACTTCAGTATTCAGATTTCTTTCTGGTATGGGTCATCCTTTTATTCTACTGCATAGCTGGTGTGACCTTCTGTTTTGCTATTGGTTCATTCTTCTCTAGACGTGAGTATTTATCAGTTATTCAATTAGATTGTGCTGTATGGGATACCAGATAATTGAATATTCAAATAAACATCATTATAGAAAGGTACAGGAATATAAAATATGACATATGATTGGGGAAGGCATCAGCATTTATTAAACCAAGTGTCTAGACATGCAGAGGGAATATAAGGTCACATGAATGTCTGTATTATTGTTTCACAGACAGAAATTTGCCGTTACAAAATTCACTCTTAAAGTATATTTTGATGTCAATATTCTAGATATATAGAAGCTTCAGTCATTAGACATTTAAAGGCAAATATTTATTTGGTAAGTCCAGATAAAAATAATCTAAATTTGAAATAAGTTGGGTAGTACTTAAATGTGATTTATGTTCAGTTGTTATGTTATTTATATTGTTAATGTGAAGCTGGTAGAATCTGCTGTTCTTTCAGGTAGCATATTTTATTTACATTTAACCACCTAAACCTGTGCAACATGCGTAGTGTGGCAGGAAATCACATAATATTATCTTCCTGTGTATTCAGAATGTCAGAAATGCCATTAAATTTTAGCATCATTTCTAAATCTGATTTTCAGTATGTTCAATATATGTATGAAGAATGAAAATCGGGACTTCCTGTTTCTATTTGACTCATCATTAAATTAAATATCCCACCAATCTTTCATGGGCAAAGATTTTTAATTTTTATTCAAGGGCATAATTTAGGATTGTCATTTTCTAATTAACTTACATCCATTTATCATCTCTAAATAAAATGCATACAGGATATTGGTGGGAAAGCCAGAAGGAAAAAGACCACAGGGAAGACCAAGGCATAGGTGGGTGGGATGGTATGGATTGGATAGATCTGGCTCAGGGTAGGAACCACTGGAGGGCTCTTGTGAACATGGTAATGACCCTTCAGGTTCCATAAAATGCTGGGAAATTCTTGAGTAGCTGCAGAATTGGTGGCTCCTCCAGAAGGGCTCAGCTCCATGAGTAAGTAAGTAAGTAAATAGAATGAAGTAATATTATCTTTTTTAAAAGGATAATACAAATACAAGGGGGCACGCCGTAGCATAGTTGGTTGAGGCATTGTGCTACAAACCGGAAGGTTGTGGATTCAATTCCCAATGAGGTTATTGGATTTTTCAATTGACTTAATCCTTCCAGCCACCCAGTGGCCATGGGCTTGACTCAACCTCTAACAGAAATAAGTACCAGGAATCTTCCTGGGGGTGAAGAGCGGCCAGCATGTCAGGCTGATAACCTCACTGCCATCTGTGAGCTGGTTGTCTAGAAAATGTGGGATCCTTGACGTTTCGCAACCCTATGGGCCTCCATGGCCTGTTACAGGGATAGTTTTACCTTTATTTAATACAAATAAGATCATAGCTATGTTGACAGAAATTAAAATACAGTTGTCATATATAAATCCCAGTTATGATAACTTCAAAAGAATTACATGACAGTAGACAAGAAATTAAAAATGAATTATTACACAGATTACACTGTTGAGCCAACGCATGGTGCATTAAAAAGAAACTTGTGTTCTTGGTATTCAAATATCTGTTATCTCAATTATGTGTCTTGACGCACATCCCCTTTCTTTGTGCTGATTACAGCATATCTCATGAAGTGTTTGCTTAAACTGCAACCTACTCAAATATTTTCCTAGTATTATCTGTGGCTCGGGTCACATTAAACAATTTTTGATAACAATTTTTGATAAACAGAACAGAAGAAAATTCTTTGTGAATGCATATGAATACAATTAAATAACTAAACTGATCACACTAGGCTGAATTGTGAACTTGAAGCAGTGAAAATCAATGTAGATAAGATATCTGGAAAAAAGTATTGACACTGATAATTAGCAAGAAACTTAACAGCTGATTCAGTGAAGAAGTTATCAGATATTCTGCGAAAATGTATTGATTTACCAACCTTCTTGACGTAGTCATTATGTCACTTGTGTAAATGAATTGATCTTCTTGTAAATTTGAACTTAAATTAATTTCTCTGCTCTAAGCTGACAGGCAATGAGCAGAAATTGTACACAAATGTGAATGTATCAAGGCATTTGTACAAAATTAGATTTATGCAGGTGACACAGTGGTAGCTAAATATTTCCAAGTGAGCAGTAGATGTACTATAGCATTCATTCCAAGAAAGTCTCTCAATATCAGTCCCAGAAAATTGTCAGTATATCTTTTTGGAGAATTATTTTATTCTTGAATGTCTTTGGAGCTAAATGATGTGTAGTGTCATTATTTTTAAGTGGCTTATTGTGTTTGCCATTTACCATAACATGATTGTATCTCTAATCATGTTGCTAATGGGCACTGGAATTTTACAAACACTGCTAATATAAAAGTCTGCCATTGGTACCATTCAGAGCTATTTCCATCCACCTTTCATCATAATAACTATTTTCCCTAAAATGTGTCTTAGAGTAATCCTGAAATCTCCTGTCATCAAGTGTTTGTTTCTGAAGAGGTTTTTGCCACTAGAATTGTGTACATATATCTTTTCTCCCACATACAAGCTCTTTGTAATTTTCGTGATTTCACCCTTCTAAGAATATACATATATATGTGATGTGCATAAATCTCTAAACTCTCTAATTATGTATAATCCTCGATTTACCACTTTCTACAGGGCTCTTAAATCTAAATATATTTCTCTTAACTTCACTTTTAAGCACATTTACTCATAATGTATTTTCTTCTGTTATAATAAGAGATCACACTTTATGACCATATGAAACAATTGTCAAAATTACTATTCATTTATCTTGGTCTTTATTATATTGGAAAGTGATAATAACACTTTTTGAACTGAATAATATTATTCATTTTTTAATTTATTCTAATTTCATCATGCATTTCATTTCTATTTGACTGAACAGGTTAATCTAGGACTAATGCTTTAAACTTGTATTTGAGAGATGTTTGAGTCAAATCTCTGCCAAGACACCAGCTTTCTTGACTGAGGTTTTCGTAGTTTTCCTCAGTCCTTCCATGAAAATGCTATGATATCATCTCAATTAGACCAATACTGCTTCCTTCCAAATACTTTTCAATCCATCATTTATCTATCATCCTGTCATCTGACCTTATATACAGTCTGATACTGAAAGCATTATTAAATAACTCGTGAAAAAAAATACATTTTGTATTATTTATTTAAGATGCTTATATTTTAACCATTTTCTAATTATTTATCACCTCTAATTATAATAAAGCTTTATTGCAAATTTTAATTTCTTGCCATATTCATGTATTTAGGCACACAGTAGCGAAGTTTGTTGAAACACTATGCTATAAGCTACACGGGTTCATAAAGGTCATTGGATTTTTCAGTTGACCTAACCCTTCCGGCTGCACTATGGCCCTGGTCTTGAATCAGCTTCTAACACAAATGAGTACCAGGAATCTACCTGGGGATTCAAAGGGCGGCCAGTGTAGAAGGCTGACAACCTCACTGCCATCTGTGAGCCGACTGTCTAGAAAATATGGAAGCCTTGACATCTTACAACCCTATGGCTCTCCACGGCCTGTTACACAGATAGCTTAACCTTTTTTACATTTTTTATTATGTGTTTAGTCATATCACTTAGAGCAATTTCTTGGTAGCCCGTAAANTAGAAAATATGGAAGCCTTGACATCTTACAACCCTATGGCTCTCCATGGCCTGTTACACAGATAGCTTAACCTTTTTTTACATTTTTTATTATGTGTTTAGTCATATCATTTAGAGCAATTTCTTGGTAGCCTGTAAACAATTTTGACATTATTTTTGTTATAAAAATGTGCTCTTCCACAAGAAATTAACGTCATCAGAATTTACAAGATCACCAATTCTTGGTTATTTAACAGTACATTTAATAGCTCAAATTATATAGAATCAAGTAATGAAATGATTGATTAATAAGAAATTGGAAGGAAAGACCATTGCCCAACTTTAAATATTATCCAGGTATTTACCTGCAGGATTGAGGAAAACCACACGAAACCTTAGTCAGGATGGCTGCTCTTGGGATGAGATTTGAACAGACGTCTAGAATACAAAGCAAGAGTGCTAACCACTCTACCACAACATCTAGTGCAATACAATTAAAATTTAATTCTTTCCTGAGAACACATCTGCAAGAAAAATCAAAAGTGTTAGGTACCACAAGTTGGTTTGTTGTAGCCTGATCTGATTTGGAAATTCATCAGATAAATTTTTACATGTATAAGCTCTAGTAGATGTATCATGCATGCACATTAATCTCACAACTCTCTTGTGTAGTCCGAATTCATTTTACAAACTCTACAGTAGTTCCTCAGTCATAACTAAATCATAGAATATTTTAAGTGTATAAAAGGCTGATGTTACACCCATTTTTCTCTAATATCTATTAAATTCAAAATATTCCATTAATAGATCTGCTATAATGCAATCCAGACTCATTATCATCTGTAATTATATTTACAAATGAAATTGCATTAAAAACATACATTATATTTATAATTCTAGTTGTTCAGTTGCAGGCTGTTTATTGATTTGTTTTGGATGGCTATTAATGATTTGGTGTTTAAGAAAATGTGTATAAATTTTCTGGGTATCACAGAGTTAGTATGCATAAGTGGGAGAAGTAGGGGTCTAGTTGAAGAAGCCATGAGGTGTGCTGGAAGAATGTAATTCTCAAGTGACTACTGAGCAAAGTTGGCTCATGTGGTAACACTTCTGACTTGTATCCGGGAAGTACAAGGTGGTTCAAATATGACCGGGACTGATTTAAAAAAAACAAAACATAATTGCCAAACACTTACTTGCACATGTCAGTCTTCAATGTACTCCCCTCTGGAGTCAACACATTTTTTCCAACTTTCTGGAAGCAGCCTGATGCCCTTTTGAAAAAAGGCTTGTGGTTGTAGGCGTATCCACTCCCGAACAGTCTGAATGACGGCGTCATCCACAAACCGCATGTCTTGCTAGTCTGATTTGAGCCTTCCTAACAGGTAGAAATCACTTGGGGCCAAATCGGGACTGTACGGCGGATATGTCAGAAGGTTCCATTTCAGTTTCCGGAGGGTTTCCATTGTTTTGGCCATATGGAGGCATGCATTGTCTTGAAGGAAGGCTACCTGCTTTCCACGTGTCTTCCGCTTGGATTGGATCTTTTCCTTCATGTCTGTTGCCAGGAAGTCTGAGTAATAAGCTGCATCACTTTTCCTGCCGAACGGCTCCTCCGCGCTCTCTTGGGTTTGGGAGAACTGGTATGCCGCCACTCACGTGATGACTGTTTGGACTCGGGAAAGAAATAATGCACCCACGTTTCATCGGTGGTTGCTATAGACTTCAAAAATGTATCACCTTCGTCTTCAAACTGCTGTAGGAGACGACTGGCAGCTTGCATGCGCACCATTTTGTTCACGTTCGTCAAAGTGCGTGGTACCCACCATGCATTCACCTTGCGATAGTGCAGGTGGTATTTCACGATGTCTTCTACACTACCAACACTGATGGACAGCATTGCTCCAAGTTTCTTGATAGTGATGTGCCTATTCTCACGAATAAGCACGTCTGCACGATCAATGTTTGGCTTGGTGACGGATGTTCGCAGCCGACGATCATGCGGTTCATTCTCCATGCACTCTCTGCCCTCTCTGAACCACTTACACCACTCAAACGCACGGGTCCATGAGAGACACTCTTCCCCATACTGTTGTTGGAGTCTGTGGTGAATTTCAGCGGACGGGACATTCTCTCCAACGAGGAATTTGATCACAATGCGTTGTTCCATGCTCCATGGTACCTTCTGTTCACTCATCACTCTAGCAACTCCCAGACAGGACTGAACAGGTTCTAATCCTAACAGGAGGGAGGGTGAAGGTTGTGGCTTCACTCTCTCAAGGTCGCACAGCTGCTGCGCAGTGCAGCTTGTTTACACACAAATCAGTCCCGGTCATATTTGAACCACCTTGTACCAGGTTTGTATCCCAGCCTGGACATGAGCTATCCCAACTGAGATTCTTCAGTTTTCCTCAGTCCCCAAGGCAAATTCTTGAAATTTGGCCATGTCCTTCAAATTCATTATTTCCTATTCATTCATTCATTTTATTTGGCAATCATAATTGCTACAACAGTAACACTTGAACAAGTCATATCATTAAATACATCATTCTTGAAATCCTTTTGCCCAAATGCCTAAGGGATTAGAATTTGTCAACAATGAATAATCACTCTTGATATGGTTAACCTATAATTAAAATATAACACACACTATCAAACCACATAAATAATAAAATTAGATACAATTGTGTACTGCACATCTTCGAATAGTTGCATTGGGTTGTTATTGTTACAGTTTCCATGGTAGCAGCCTGTTAGAATTTTAGCTGATTTCTATTGAAGTCGTGATATCTAAGGGCACATTTAACAGATTAAAGTACAATACTTAAAATTTGAAATTTTTAATAATATCTGTTTTTTTACATAATTTAAACATTAAAAAGTAACCATTGTTAAAAGTTGAACTGCCTTGTCAAATTCATTCATTCATATTTACAACAAAATTTTAAACTTCATACCCAGAATATAGGGTGACTCAATATACAAATCCTAGACAATGAAACATACATATATTAAAACAGTACTTAGTAGCAAGGAATAGTATATTGATAAAACTCATTCATGGAGAAAAAGGAATGGTGACACAGAAACCTTTTTAAAGTGGATTTAAAACCCTTCTCATCATTCACCATTCTTTTTATTGAATGAGGTAAATGATTAAAAACTCCTATACCTGTGATATAGACACCTTTATCAAATTTGGCCAGATTCACCGCCGGTAGGGGCAAGTATTTACATAACCTAGTTTTATGATCATGTAATTCACTATTGTTTTCAAATAAGTTCTTATTATTAACCACAAATATAAGTAGTGCATATATTGAGAATACAATGTCATTATTTTCATCCTCTTAAAAATCTCCCTACAAGAGTCTCTTGGCCTCATATTCATTATGACTCTGATAATTCTCTTTTGCATTACAAATACCTTTTGCGCTAAGCTAGCACTGCCCCAGAAGATTATTCCATAACTAATAATGGAATGAACATGGGCAAAGTAGATTAACCTTAGTGTTTCTGTTGTTACTGTATGCTTTATGTTTCTAATTGCATAACATGCCACAGATAATTTGTTTATAGTATAATAAATGTGCTGGCTCCAAGACAAAGTATCATCAATAATCAAGCCCAGAAATTTAGCCTCAGTAGCTGTAACTATACTTTTTTGATCATATTGGACTTTTACAGCTATTCCTAGATCAAAATTCCAAATATGTATTGGGTTTTTTGGGTGAGTAAGTTGGCATTAAAGCAGGTATTTACCTTATCAAAAGTTCTGTTAAGATTTGTTTTAAAGTTCCTTTTATTGTGATCTGTAATTATAATGCTCATGTCATCAGCATACAGTACCATGTGATACTCTTTATTTATCGCCCATTCAGATATATTATCACTACTACATTTATTACTAAGCACCACTCTCTGCTGTCTGCCTGTTAAATAAGAATTGATTAATGATTTAAATTTCCCTGTAATTCCATAGAATTCAAGTTTATGCATTAATATTGTTTGATTGACACAGTCAAACTTTAAGCATTTGACACTATATAATCTGAATTCTTAAATAAACTACAAATTCAAGTGACAGTTCAAAATTTAAATTCATATTTTTTGGAATTTACATTTTTTCTTGCTATGAGAAAGTGTCCAAATCCTCTTTCCTATTCCAGCCCCTGTTTGAATGCATTTTTAAATTCCATTTAGACATCTGAATACTAAACTTAAAATTTTAATTTACTTTGCTGTGAATGTTTATATTTACTTAGTTATTTTAAGCTCTGGTGACAGTCACGTGCATGGTGTCACCCTGAAATCCTTTCTTTCTAAGAGTTCCTTACTTTCCCATTTATCCATTCCACCATAAATTTTTTAATAATAATGTGGACTACATTTACTGTCACTGTATCTATTCTCAACTGCAGTTGGAAGTCTGACAAAATTGGAAGTAAAACTAGAATTTGAAAATGTTTACAATTTAAATAAAAAGGTATACACTTCCTTAGTTTCTAATAAAAAAAAATTCACTTGAATTTACATGTTGTATTGTTAGTTACAGTTGAAGACCAAGCTATGGAATACATACATACATATGAAGCAACTAATTGCATAAATGTATCATGATTTCAGCAACCTTGGCCATGTGTGCCGGCATTTTTCTGTGGTTTATATCTTACTCAGCTACAACATATCCTGTTATGAATGGAAATACCCTTCATGTGGGTGTCAAGCTCGTATCAGCTATTTTGCCAAACACAGCAATTAACTGGGCATTTGGTTTGATTGTGTCCTGGGAAACACGAGGTTAGTAAAAACCATGAAATTTGTTACAAATTGTGACATAATTTGAACGTATTTTCAAAATAAATTTCTGTGATTGTGATCCTCGATGGAATATGATTCCTTCCCTGCCATGCCAATCTCATAAGAATTGTATTTGATATTGGTCTATTATAACCAAGGCTGCCTGAGGGACTTTTCATTATTAATTGTTGAACCTTACATATTAACTAATTGCATTTTAGAACAGAGACTGTAACTAGATAGATTACGCATTCCACAAAACGTCTCATGAATGGCAGTTGAGAGGTGCACATAATTTTTTTCCTTTCACTTCTTAAGGTTGGTTGTTCTCGTTTCTAATGTCAGTTATGTTTCTGTTGATGGTTTAATTCAGAAAATTGGTAAAATAATTTGTCAGTGTGTAGAATTATGAAATTTAAGGAAAGGAGAATTTGTAATATTTGTATAATATACTGTACATCAGTAGCTACTTTCACGTGTATTAATTAGCCCCACACAGTATTTGTTTCAAATATGGTATTTCTGCTTGATTTAGGTGAGGGCCTGTCCTGGGGAAATTTCTTTACCCCTCCCAGTGGTAAAGAAGGTGACATCAGCATGGGTCTTATATGGGTGATGCTCATTGTGGACACTGTCCTATATAGCATTGTGACATGGTATATTGATTCTGTCATGCCAGGCAAATATGGGGTTGCAAAACCCTGGCACTTCTTCATCATGGTATGACAGTAACATATGTCTTATTTCTTAAATTCATTGGTTTTTTAGTCTGTAATTCAAGGCAGCGATATGAAACATTCAAGTTTACCACAATAAAAATAATTAATTTCCTTTCATGAATATATGTCCATAAAAATAACAATTTATAGAAAAAAATATGAGCTGAAATAAATAAACCTAACTCTTTAACTCAACTTACTGTAGTTGAATTCCAGTATACAACATATCAAACTAGATAATACAAAATGGAAAAACAAACACTTCTTTATTCAGTTTGTCTCATAATATATGTATAATTCTAGGATAATTTTACAGTTTCTACAGCTACAAAATGTTCCAGCCATTATTTTTGGCCATCATCAGGTAGTACTTATACATTCACTCTCAACACTCTCTTTTATTCCACTTCAGTTGCCCAATTGGGGAGGGACATGTTGTTAAATACAATGTAGGTTTTTAGGTAGACTTAAATTCTGTAGATTATACAAACCTTTGCCCTAGTGTTCTGAAGAGTATGCATTATTTGCAATATAAACATCTTTTAACTTCGAAGATTTTGCCTTAACATTTGTTTTCTTACATAGTTTAGCTAAAATAGATAGAAACTGGTTAACTTAATTATATATATATAAACAAATTTTAAGGCAGATTTTCAGATTTCAAGGCAAAATTTTTAAAGTTAAAAGATATTTGTATTGCCAATAATGCGTACCTTTCTGAATACTGGGACAAAGTTTTATATAACTTATAGAGTATATTTAAGTCTACAACTGAAAACCTACATTGTAATCAACAACATGACCTTCCCCAGTTGTAAACATTGGCCAGTGGAAGGGGAATAGTAGAGAGAGTTGATAGTGACTGTAAGTACTACCTGGTGATAGCCAAAAATAATGGCTGAAACAAATGCATGATTGTAGAAACTGTATAGTTATCCCAGAATTAAGCGGCCTCGGTAGTCTAGGGGTAACGTTCCCACTTCATGACTCAAGGTATGCGGGTTCAAACCCGACGGAGGTCGTGGAATTTTTAAGGGTGGAAAAATTCAGGGAACAAGTCCTCTGGGAGGGATTTTAAGCTGTGGGTACTGTGTTGTAGCTTTATGGCATGTAAAAGAACCTCATGCTCCAAGGAGGCCTCTGAGCCAAATTATAAGGACATTTCCCGCCCAACAATAGTCTCTAACGCCTCTGGTAGATGGGGGAAGCATCTAGATACCGCTGAGCCAGTAGAGGCCGAACTCGCTGGCTGAGTCGAGACTGATGGCACGCACCAGTATCAGTAGGGTATAGAGACCGGTAGAATATCACGGGGACGTACAATAGACCATTCGTCGCGGTGCATGGGGAAACCCACCCCCTCAAATAATAATAATATCCTAGAATTATACATATATTGCGAGATTGAAACTGAATCAATTATTCTACAAACAGTATGATGGTAAAATACAATATTATGGAAAAAACACTTGGTTATGACAACAAGAGTCAGTGAGTAACTTTGTAGTGCAGTCAGAATATTTGTAAATTCTTTTAACAGTTTCACTGTGAGTCATTGTTTTGCTAATTATTCAGTCTCTCTCCCTTCCTATAGAGTTTGTTACATGTTTCATGTAGCAATATACTTTTGATTTATGAAATCGAATGAGTGGCTTTAAGATGAATAAGTGTACACAAGTGTATATACTGTACATATATAGGTAAGTAAGTAAAGGTATCAGCCGCACCATAGCTCAAGCGGTTAGTCACTGGCTTCCCACCGCGGCGGCCTTGGTTCGATCCCAGGTCTGGTCAAGTGGGATTTGTGGTGGACAAAGTGGTGCTGGGGCAGGTTTTCTCTGAGTACTTCAGTTTCTCCTGCCAATCTTCATTCCACCAGTTGCTTCACAATCACCCTCACCTCTCCTCTGGGGCTGGTACAATAGGCCAGAAGTGGCTGCAGTACAAGGGACTTAGTCCCACCCCACTATCAATTAAAAAAGTAAAGCTATCACTGTAACAGGCCATGGAGGCCCATAGGGTTGTGAGATGTTGAGGTTCGCAAATTTTCTGGACAATTGGCTCGTAGATTGCAGTAAGGTTTTCAGCCTTATGTGCCAGCTGCCCTTTACTCCCAGGAATATTCCTGGTACTCTTTTCTGTTGGAGGCTGAGTTGACCCCAGGGCCATAGTGCAGCTGGAAGGATTAGGTAAAATGAAAACTCCACCTCATTGGGATTCGACCCTGCGACCTTCCAGCTTGTAGCATAGTGCCTCAACCAACTACGCTACCGTATACCCCACATACATAGGTACACTGTCTTAAAGCTTAAGAACATCTGGTCCTTACTACTGAAATATTATTAAAACACCAGTGACATCTGAGGGCACATGTGCTTAAAATGTTCCACAGAGTGGTATTGTTTCAAAGGAAAGAAATTATGTCTTTATGAAGGTCTACACTATTCTTTTAGTTGTAGCTGATAGAGAGATCTTATGTCTGTAACATTTCTATCTCTCCAAATGCCCTAGGTTTAAGACCATAAGTTATCAAATGTTCTTAAACAGAATTATATTTAAAAGTCATTATAGGACGTGGCTGAGCCCTAAATTTAAACATTGTTGCTACATTTGCTTGAAGGTGTGAGTAAAACCATGAGGACATCAAGGTATTGTTTCTTCTAACCAAATTGCACTCAAAATTCTCAATTTAAAAAGTGTGAGAATTATCTACTACACCAGAGAGTTCAGTAATATGATTTGGATATTTGTGTATCTTCATGTTCATTTTGATAAAGAATACAGAATAAAGAAAAAGGGTTTGTCCGAAGAGTAATGTCAGTGATTTTATTGTGAAGTGACTATACGTCTCAGCGCGCTCAGACCGGTTGGGATTGGTGGAGGGGGAAGTCAGCTTATGAACGCGCGGTCGCTTAGTCGTCTCCGAACTTCCTGAGAGTGACGAAAGGCTTTTCCGTGAAACTCGTTTTTGTCTCCCGTGCAAGCCGCAGTGCAGCACTCCTTGGAACAAAAGGTTGCCATCAAGTTTTGTGTGAAACTTGGCAGGTCTGCAGTGGAAACTTTTCCCATGATAAAGACGGCCTTCGGTGATGATTGTTTGTCGGAACGTCAGGTCTATCAGTGGCACAAGGCCTTTTAGAAGGCCATGAAGAGGTCGGCGATGAAGCCCGCGCTGGACAGCCATCAACAAGCACCACCGACAAAAATGTGACACGTGTGAGAGGACTTTTGAACTCAGACCGTTGTTTGAGTGTTCGTTTAATGGCACAGACATTAAACATTCCAAAAAGTACCGTTCACGAGATTGTGACGAACAATTTGCAGATGCGAAAAGTGTGTACAAAGCTGGTGCCCAAAGTGTTAACGGACGACCAAAAATTGTGCAGAGTTGAAACGTGCCAAGAACTTTTGGACTTGTGTGAAAGTGACCCTCACTTTTTAGACAGTGTCATCACAGGTGGTGAGACTTGGGTGTTTGAGCACAACCCCGAAACAAAAAGACAAATTGTCAAATGGCACACCTCAGCATCCCCTCACCCCAAGAAGGCCAGAATGAGCAAGTCAGAGGTTAAGGTCATGCTCATTGTGTTCTTTGACATCAGGGGGGTCGTCCACCATGAGTTTGTACCACATGGTACCACCATCAACGTCAAATTCTACATAGAAGTGCTAAAGAGACTCAAACGAAGGGTTTATCGTGGACAATTGGAAACTTCACCATGACAATGTGCCAGCCCACACCGCCTTCCTCGTGATCCGCTTCCTGACCGATTCAAAGGTGCCAACAGTTCCCCACCCGCCCTACAGTCCTGACATGGCTCCCCCAGACTTCTTTTTGTTTCCGCGCTTGAAAACTTCCATGAAAGGACATCATTTTGGGACAGTTGACAAAGTCAAAGAGGCTTGCACCAAGTCTCTAAAGAACATTCCGGAGGAGGCCTACCATGACACCTTCGATGCCTGGAAATCTCGCTGGAAGTGATGTATCGACACAGAAGGAGCCTATTTTGAAGTCTTTTAATGTGTTGTACCGGTCTATTCAATAAATTTTTTTAATCAACTCACTGACATTACTTTTCGGACTGCTATGACAAATACAGTTCTTCTGTTCCAGCCATCCTATTGGTGCAGCAGCAAGCTTAGTAGTACATTTTCTTCAGATGATCAGGCAGAAAATAACAGAACATTTGAAAATCCCCCAAGTAATCTGCATGTTGGGATCAAAATACAAAACCTTCGCAAAATATTCCATTCACTGGGTGGACTGAACAAGAAGGTGGCAGTAGATGGAGTCACTCTAGATATCTATAGTGGTGAGATTACAACACTGCTTGGACATAATGGTGCTGGCAAAACTACAACTATGTCAGTTCTCACAGGTGAGAAATTTAATAATAAGACAAATTATTGTGCATTGGTGATCTGTAGTGGCATCATTGTTCCAATTAAAACTAATGAGGCTAAATGAGTATTTAAAAAGCTTTAGACCTAAATGAACATATATTTTCCAATTCAGAGTGTAAGGTGAAGAATATGGGATACAGAGTTCTCAGTATAATGTACAATGACCCAAAACAAGACATCAAGAAAAGAAGAAAGTTTATCAGAAACTAAAGAGGAAAGGTTGTTCAAAGATACTAGAAGGATACTATTAATGGAATGGTTATTATGAACCTGATAATAAACCTATGGGTTACATAAGAATGAGGAATTTCTAAATAGCTGAGTAAATATTAGCTTCTCAACTATGCTTCATGATATTAGTTACTCATAGCTGAAAATGGTTGCAAGAAAATCAAAACATACCACTTCTCACAGCAACCTTCACTTTTTTGTCCCATTGATGTGTTTTGATTATGACCTTCCATGGAAATGTCACTGACCTCTGCAGATTAGTATGTTCTGTATAATTTGTTTTACCATTTCACTGCATTTGTAAGATTGATATAATTGTTATGAATACAATCAGCTTGTTAGATTTGACATATCGCATAACATCTGATATGAAACTGTATTTTACGAAGCGTTGTAGCCTTGCCTTGCTAGCCTGGCCATTTTATAACAGCAGATTCAGTTTCTATTATATAGTATCATTTTGTAGAAGTCGTGTGTTAATTTTTTCATATTTACAATTTAAAATTTTTATTTCTTTCCATGTCCACATAGAATTCATATGATGTTGAATTATTTCATTGATTTTTTTTTGTCGTAGTTGAAGTGTCATTCTGTGTGAACCTGGATAAAAACATCAAACAGCTTCCAGTATTACAAGAGTTCTGAATTAAAAATTCAGTTTGAAAATGTTCTTTTATAGATTGAACTTCCCTGCCTTGCTATTAAGTCAGTTTATATGCATAATTTATTACCTTTGGTAGGCCTGTATTCCCCTACCAGTGGTTCTGTGTATATTGATGGCTATGACATCCGTGAAAATTTGGACAAAGTTCGGGAAAGCATGGGCCTCTGTCCCCAACATGCTCTGCTCTTCTCAGACCTAACTGTCATGGAGCATCTCCTTTTTTTTGCTATCGTAAGTATTCCCGCATTTCAGTATTCTGTGATTCAACTTGTACATTTTTGTTTAAAATTCCGTGTAGAACATTGACTGTCCTTAGAGGTTTTTCATGGTATTCCACAGTCCCTTCAGGCAGATACCAGGATTGTGCCTTAAATTTTGCCAAGACTTCTTCATTCTACATCCTTCCAGATTCATTCCTCACTGTCATCCAATTACTCAACACTGTACTGTCCAAGTTTCTAACATCAACATTAAATATAATATAAATAAAATAAATAAATGTAAATATTTACTTACATTTTGAAATAATTTCAGTCTGATGTGTTGATAATAATATTCTTTATTGTTAACAAGTTGATACACACAAAAGGTGAGTTGGTAATTAATGACCAATTTTTATAAATTAATAGTACTACCTTACAAACAAAATCCAGCAATTTTTTCTGATGAGATGGGCACTGCTTACGCCACTTATGGCAGAAATTTGAAATACATAAGAAATTTTGATTGTAAAACTTGAAAGGATGTGACTACCTGATGTACATATGAAGATAATTATATACTGGATCTTAAATATCCAAAATATTAAAATGTGAGCCAAATGCATTGGATTCAGAACAGGGACCAGTGGTAGGTTCTAGTGAATAAATTAAAGAACCTTCAAGTTCCACAAAAGGTGTGGAGTTTTTTTAGTATATGAGCAACTAATAGCTTCTAAAGAAAGATTCTGTTTCATTGAGTTAGTTGACTGGTTGGTTGGTTGCTTGGTTAATTAATCAGTTATTCATTTCCTGAATTTTTTTTCAAATACTGAAGGTAAAATTTATTTATTGTTCTCTTTTACTAGCATAAAGGCCATTTAAATTACACGGCAAAATTATTAAAAACAAACTCTGTCAAGAATACCTAACCTCACTACCTTGAAAAGTCACTTAGACATTAACTAAATTTGATAGAATAGCAGTATACACCAGGTGGTGGTGCTATCAATCTTTTCCTTTCTTTCATTATTCTTTCTTCTGTCTTCTTTTCTAACCTTTAGTCATTCCTTTCCCAGTCATTATAGTGATGGGTTACAGGTTGGAGAGCCAGGGTTTGATTCCTGTCAGGGCAAAAGAATTCTGTCTTCTCCATAATGTTCATACCTACTCTGGGGTCCAGTGGGTACTGGGGCTCCTTCCTCAGAAGTAAAGCAGCCAAGGCTTGAATCTGACACTCACCTGCCTAAGTCAAGAATGATGGAGCTATACCTGTACTCTTCCACATGCTTTCATGGCATGGTTCTGAAGTAATTGAGCACAGAGGCAACTTTACCTTCATCTGTAATATACCCATGCAGAAAAATCTGCACTGAAATTTGAGGAACAATTTTGGTTGTTTGTGGCAGCTTCTTACATATAACGTCTGTAGCATTTTGAATTTTGTACGTCATTTTTGTGGTCTATATATCATTACCATTGTCATGTACTTGTCACAGCCTCATTGCTTTTGTTGTGGAGAAAAGGATGGTGAAATAAATTGACTTGGACTTGAACCTATGCATGTCAGAGCAAAATTAGTAATTTTCCCAGAATTTCCTCACCAGCAGTACTTATTTACTACAGTGCACCAGTTGAGAGAAACAGGATTGGCTGGCTGGATGAATGAATGAATACATATTTGTCTTGTGGGAACATCCCACATTATCACGCATTTCTGCAACGCTCGCTCTTCACATCGCTTTTCACCATCACGCGCGCTAACCAATCTGATTGCTTCAAACGTTCATATTTATACTGGGATCGCTCCTGGCCCGCATCTACGTCATTACGCGCGCTAGCCAATCAATTCTTCCTCCTCGCTTTCGAGTTTGGCTCCGCCCCACCGACCAGCGTATAAAAAGGAGCGACTCCAGAGCCGAGTTATTCAGTTCAATTCAGTTCAGCAGTTTATTTCAGTCCGACAGCAAGCAACTCGAGCCAGCAGGCTTCGTCGCCAGCGCTCGGTCTTCGGAGACATCGGCAGGCTGCGCCGGGCACGACTGCCTCGGCCCTTCGGCGCTCTCACACCTGACTCACTGGGGCACCACGCCTGGACTCGCCGGTGGTCGTGTTATGGTCAGACTCACTGGGCTTCTGGCGTAGCCACTGCCTCATGGCTCCTGCGACCGCGCTCAACGACTAGCCTTTTCACCAGCCATTCACCGTAACTAGCCTTTCTCCTTACCGGCGCGCGCCGCGGTACCTCACCGGTCAATCATCTCAGCAGCCACGGTCCTTTTCAGGGCCAACAAACTGTTCCGAAGAAGTGGGTTGTCATAGGAGTAATGACAAAGACTACACACACATGTTAAGACATCCCCACATTGGTGACCCCGACGTGATTGGAAGTGCGTGTGGTGAACATCAAATAACGACTCCTACGTTGGATCATCACAGCCCAGCATAGACGCCGCATACACTTCGCAAGCAGCATCACTTCTCGCAAGGGGGGGAGTGATGTGGGAACATCCCACATTATCACGCAATTCTGCAACGCTCGCTCTTCACATCGCTTTTCACCATCACGCACGCTAACCAATCTGATTGCTTCAAACGTTCATATTTATACTGGGATCGCTCCTGGCCCGCATCTACGTCATTACGCGCGCTAGCCAATCAATTCTTCCTCCTCGCTTTCGAGTTTGGCTCCGCCCCACCGACCAGCGTATAAAAAGGAGCGACTCCAGAGCCGAGTTATTCAGTTCAATTCAGTTCAGCAGTTTATTTCAGTCCAACAGCAAGCAACTCGAGCCAGCAGGCTTCGTCGCCAGCGCTCGGTCTTCGGAGACATCGGCAGGCTGCGCCGGGCACGACTGCCTCGGCCCTCCGGCGCTCTCACACCCGACTCACTGGGGACTCGCCGGTGGTCGTGTTACAGTCAGACTCACTGGGCTTCTGGCGTAGCCACTGCCTCATGGCTCCTGTGACCGCGCTCAACGACTAGCCTTTTCACCAGCCATTCACCGTAACTAGCCTTTCTCCTTACCGGCGCGCGCCGCGGTACCTCACCGGTCAATCATCTCAGCAGCCACGGTCCTTTTCAGGGCCAACAAACTGTTCCGAAGAAGTGGGTTGTCATAGGAGTAATGACAAAGACTACACACACATGTTAAGACATCCCCACAGTCTATTGTATGTGGATGTGGTGGTGCAATAACAGTGCAATGTGAATATCAAATGATCACTGTCTTACATGTGCTAATCTTGCATATTCCTGGATAATATGTCAGTTTTCACGCATAAAGCTTAAAAAAAATGTATTCAGGTAAGGGATACGAGGTATTTACCAAAAAAAAATTTCGGTTCCCTGTGAAATGAGATTCAAATAAAAATACTGCACAATTCCACTAGTGTACAATAGATTGATTTGCTTATTATGTTCTTAATTTTCATAGAGTCTGAGTTTTTAAACATTTGTTCGCCTTGTTTTAGACATTCATTATAAACACTTCCCCTCCTGTGGTAAATTTGATGTTCTGTTATCAGTTTTCACTTGCTATAATTGATTATAAATGTAATGCCTAGTATAGAATTTGTAAATATTCCATATTCTGCCTTTTCATGTTACAGTTGAAAGGCTGTTCCAGAAAGGAAGCAAAGAAGGATGCTACAGAATTCCTTGAAAGGTTGAATCTTACTGACAAGAAAAACCAGATGTCCTCAACTTTATCTGGAGGAATGAAGAGAAAATTGTCTTTGGGCATAGCTCTAATTGGAAACAGTAAAGTAAGCAGTTATTTCTAACAAGTTCTATATTTGGTAATCATGAGGCTGCATTAACCTCAAGGTGTGAACTTTTGTGGGTTCTAGGTCTTGATGCTAGATGAACCAACATCAGGATTGGATCCAGAAGCCAGGAGGGAAATATGGGATATCTTGTTGGTAAGAAGAATAATTTATTACCACAATTTATTGCTGATTTTTCAGAGTAACATAATAATGTACAAACCATGTGCCAAACCAAAGATCTGCTGTAGTTGTAAGCAATAAACTGATATTTTTTTCTGCTGAAGATTACTTAAATCTGTTAATTTTCCCACCATATCATCTTTTATGATTTTCCATTTATTTTATATTCTGATAGTATAAGTTGTATGCTTATTGCCTTTAAAATATTACACTCCACAGAATTCCTTTACTTTAAATGAGAAGGAACAAGAATTCAGAGCACTTCTTCTTCTTCTTCATCACCTCTTCCTCTTTCTTCATTCTCTTTCTCCTCCAGCATATCAATTCTTATGTATGTCATCTTCCAAAGAAACCTCTCCATCTCTGTCTTCACAAACACCTTCTCCTCATTTTCCTCCCGTGTTCTTACTTCCAGTTGCATGTTGTTCCCATCTTGATCTTGGCCTTCATTGTGGGTTTTTTTTCTTTTAGTTGCAAGGTCAAAACCATCTTTGTACAGGGTGGGGTGCAGTAACTTCCTTTTTTTGAAGGCGAATAAAAGAAAAATTATTGCTGATAGACAGAATTTATGTTTACCTAATGAAAGAACATACTTTAAAGTTTTAAATCATGTAGTTTTAAACAAAATAGCTTGAAGGTGGTGGCCACCGTTCTCTATGCACTGATGCAACCAAAGTTCCCCTCTGCATGTTCCAACATGTGCACTGGAATTTGGGCTACTTACTGCCGAATAACATTCTTCAGCTGAGGCAGGTTTGTGGGGCGATGTTTAAAAACCTCTACCTTGAGGTATCCCCATAAAGAAATCACAGGGCATTAGATCAGGTGAGTGTGCTGCCCACGGGATGTCACCTCGAAGCGAGATGAGCCATCTGGGGAACTTTGCCCTCAAAACTGTCATCGAAGCTCAGGCTGTGTGGGCCGTGGCACCATCCTGTTGGAACCAGACATTTCCTAGATGCATTTCTTCAAGAGCTGGTTTGAAAAAGTTTTAAATCATGTCCACATACAACTGTGAATTGACAGTAACTGCATGATTGTCTTCTTAAAAAAATAAGGGCCAATAACTCCAACTCTCGACAACGCACACAATACTGTCACCTTATCACTGTGAAGTGGCCTCTCATGGAGCTCTTTGGGATTGTTACCACTCCAATAGCGCATGTTCTGCTTGTTGACATATCCGGATAGGTGAAAATGTGCCTCATCACTAAAGAAAACAAGTACGTCGGGGTAACGTTTCCAATAACATTTCGCATGCTGTTATTCGGTTCAGGAAATCATGTGGTGACAATTCTTGCACAACAACCATCTTATAGGGATGGAAATGAAGATGTTCGTGAAGAATTCGGCACATTAAACGATTGTATATGTCTAGGGTGACCGTATGTTTGCGAGCGGAGCATCTTGGAGATCTCAGATTCGACTGTCGAACTGCCTCCACATTTTCTGGCGTCGTAACGGTCCGTTGTCATCATGATGATTTTTTCACCACACTCCCGGTTGTCCTAAATTTCTCTACCCACAAAACAATTGATTTCCGGTCGGGAGCCGGACCTCTGAGCTTAATTCCAAAGTGAGTTCGGAACGCACGCTGCACCGCCACGTAGGAATGGTTGTTTGAAAAATAGACTTCAACAGCAAACGCACGCTGCTCACTTGTCCACCTCATGTTTCCTACTGAAGGGTATTAGACAGAAACTTCCATGACTGCTGCATTCGTCAAGCCTATCCCCACTTTTCTGCAACCTCACCTCCCCTCACAGTGCGTCTTCGCAAAAAGGAAGTTTCTGCGCCCCACCCTGTAGTCTACCGCCATTCATTCTTAAAGCTTGTTCACATTATCTTATTATGTTATTTATCAGTGTATTTTCCAATATATTTATCTTACATTTTCTCTGATTTTTAATATCCTGTTCTCATTCCATTGGTTTTTCCTTTTATGTGTATTAAATATCTCATCTCTGCTGCTGATTAAATACTAATATCTGTCTTTGGCCATGTCCTTTTTCTACTCCATATGTCACAATTGGCATGTAGTGATTTTTTAAATAAACACATTTTTTCCTGTATTTCAAATTTTCCATTTCCAAAGCATATTCCTAACTAATTGGTAACACTTTCCTGCATTTGTGTGCATTCATGTAATTTCCTGTTGTACTTCTCTATTACTGTTTTACTTTGCTAGCTGTTTAATACTCTCCACTTTCTTTATTTCAAGGTATTGCACTTTATCCTTCTCACATCTATCCTCCAACTTATTTTCGTTACCATATTCTTATCCAAATTGACTTTACACACTGTAACAGCTCCATGTAATTTGGCTTCAGAAATCTTCCACCAAGCAAGTTGGCTCAAGCAGTAATATTTCTGACTTATATTCAGGAGGCACCTGGTTTGAATCTCAGCCAGAATACTACTCATCTTGACAACGGTTTTCATGATTTTCCTCATTCCCTCCATGAAATTGCCAGAATAGTAATTATACCACAACCCTTTCCATGCACATCCTTTCCAATTCATTATTTACTTATCACCCTATCATACAATGATATATAGTCTGGAATACTGGTTGTGTCATTAAATAAAGACAACTAAAAAAAATCATTCATCCCCATGTATCAGAGTCATCTTTGTGAACCATAGTTTCTGGTATTCCACTAGCTTGTTCTTCTGTTATTCTTTTTAATATTTTATTTATTGCAGCACTGAACAACATAACAGACATATCATATTATATACATGGTGTGGCAATTAAGTTCCAGGACTGGTACCACAGAATTCATATTATGTGGTGATGAAATGAACTACTGCAATGTAAGAGTAGTTCTGCCTCTTACCAACAATTGACAGGGATCAGCAAAGTCAATCACTGACAGTTCATGTGTAGCAGCTGTGTGAAGTTTTTTGTGTTTTTAACTGTGATCACTTTTTAGCGATATTTCAAAATGGACCAAACTAATTGTTTGCATTGGTTTTATTTAATAACTGCTACATATTTCAGTCCATAGTTTGGATTATCCTCAGGCAGTTAAGCGGCCTCCATAGTCTAGGGGTAACGTTCCCACCTCATGACTCAAGGTACGCGGGTTCAAACCCGGCAGAGGTCATGGAATTTTTAAGGGCAGAAAAATTCAGGGAACAAGTCCTCCGGGAGGGAATTTAAGTTGTGTGTCCCGTGTCGTAGATTTACGGGACGTAAAAGAACCTCATGTCTTTAGGAGACCTCTGAGGTAAATTATAGGCCTTTTCCCGCCCAAGTAGTCTCCAATGCCTCTGGTGGATGGGGGAAGCATCAAGGTACCGGGGGCCGACCTCGTTGGGTCTACAGGGGCTGATGGCACGCACCGTTACGGGTAGGGTATGGTGACAGTAGAAATTAAGAGGGGGACGCACAATGGACCAATAACTGGTCTAAGTGCATGGGGAAACCTACCCCCTCCCATAATACATACATACATCCTCAGGCAGTTTCATTAATCCATCTCATTACTGAAGTATTCTAATATGGATACATATTGGTGTTAATCATTATAATACATGTAATTATTACTAAAATTGTAAAAAAGTTATTAGAACGTAAAATTCTGTGTTCTTTTTTGTGAATTATAGGTGGTGTTTATTTTCCAAGGTCCACTGTTATGTTTTTTTGGTACTATCCGTGTATAATATCATTAATAGTTTTTATAAGTATTTATTCTTGTCTTCTTGAATGTGACGTCATGATTAAGTCTTTTTCACTTTAGAATGTATTGTGTACTTCTTGTCATGTGGACATTTTATTTTGTGTTATTCCTGTTCCTGGTTTCAATGTGGACAATGAGAAGAAAAAGAAACATATAAAAACTAAAAAATTAAGCCCAGTCCAAATAAATCCCCCCCCCCCCCTGACCCATTATTTCTTTGTTTTGAATTCATTTCTATTACTGAATTCAGTTTCTCCAACAAACTCCAAACAGTTTATATGACAGTCGTTACATGAATGGTTATCCCCATGTAAGAGCAAAAAGTCTACTGGAACTAAGTTCTGATGCTGACTAAAAGTTGGATCCAATATAACACCGTGTTAAATACTGCAAAATTTTTGGCAGATTTGAATGAACATGACACAGTCCTCTTCAGTGACCTTAATTCAGGTAATCCTGAAGTACAATGGGGGGAGGAAAGTGGAGCCACATCATTCTTCTACAAAACATACTTGGTTCTGACTAGGAAGCTTCATAGGTTGAATCCTGGAATAATCTATCTTGATTTAGGTTTTTCATAGTTTCGTTTCTACATATGTTGGGGTATTTACTATGCTTTTTCTCTTCATTCTGTTCCAAAATATGAATTGTTTTAACAGAGTATGAGAGGAGAGAGGACTATCCTGATTACAACACACTTCATGGAGGAAGCTGATGTTCTCGGAGACAGGATTGCTATCATGTATAATGGCCGAGTCCAATGCTATGGCACTTCTTTATTCCTCAAAAAACTATATGGTAAGTTAAAAACTGTAAACCTCTTTGAATTTATTATGTATAAATTAAATAATTACATCTTAAACATGCTAGAAGAAGTGCAGTAATAGAAAATGAGCTGCAAAGAATTAAATTGATATGTAAAAAATACATAGGGAATCGAGTAGCTCACAGATGAGGCTTCGGGCTGGATGACCTGGGTTTCATTGCTGGCTAAGCAAGATTATTCTCTTCTCCACAGTGTCCAGTCTGACTCTGGGGCCCATTCGGCCTCCTATCAAGTGGGAACTGGGGGTAATTTCCCAGGGGGGTAAAGTGGCCAGGTTGTGAAACTGACCACTGGCCTCCATCTAGTGGCAAGGTCAAGAATGTTGAAGTTATACCATCCCTCCCCCCATATGTCTTCATGGCATAGTGCTTAATTAATTAAACACATAGCTTTACCTTTACCTGTAACAAATATTTGTTACATTATGAACAGCTGACACACAATTTATGATGTTCACACAGATCATCTGTACCATAAACAGATATTGCAAACACGTGCTGTAAATTCCTTCAAAGCACTTTGTAAAGGAGCTCTGAATATGTTTTTTTCTTCTTATTTCAAAATTACAGCCTCTGACTGCTGAAATAACTTCTCAGCATAAAAACTTAGGAACTGCTGTGGTGTGTATCTACCAGTAGCAGAAGCTTGCATTGTTACTCAGGAAACATCAAAAAAGAGTGATTAGTATATAACAGTTGTTAAAAGGATGGTGGCAATGTGTGGATGCGAAGGATGAAAAGAACAGAACATAAAGTGTATCACAGATCCCTTTGATAAGATATTTTCCTGGATTTGTCAGGAAATGCTTTTAGACAGAATAAAAAATAAAAACCCCAATTAGGATAATAAGTACCAATTAAAATTTAAGCCAGGCATTTCCCGAATGCAAAGCTAATGCTGTACAATTGAGTCACCCTGCTTGGTTCTTTAAATTATTGATACTAATGTCCAAAGAGTTAGCAGAAGTAATGTCTTAATTTCATTACTTCTTTTTTTTTTCTTAATGATTCCAACTTCTCAAAAGACAGCAAACAATGTATTATCATAAGCAGCAACTGACGCTGCAAAACAAATTAAAAATTATCAGAAAAAGAAACTGAATAGAACATATTCTTGATGACTTCTCTTACGCATCCATGATGAGATTCATTTATGATCAACTGGTAAATAATTTCTTACCTAGTCATGAAAATTTTGTTGTGATCAACCAGCTTCACCCAAAAACATGTCCTTTTATTATATATGAAAGGGAAGAAGAAAACTATTCTCTTTTAAATATATAATCTTAAATTAGAAATAGAAAACAGTAATAATCAAATAGCCTACATAAATGAGACAGGTTATAGCAGTTAACAAAGTAAGGCTCCTACAGGCACACAAATCTTGTGAATACAAATGTATTTTATCCATACAGTGAACTTTTTCAGATGGTTGGTTTGTTCGTTGCTTATTTAATGGTACTGAATCAAGTACATGTTTTATTTAATAAGAAATTATTTGGGGGCATATGCATTGAATGGGATAGGATGGGGGGAAAAATTATAATCTGTAGGTGTTTTAAGGTAACAGCCCTGGGTTCTGCTTCATTCAGGACATTTAGTACTGGGTCAAAATTTGAATCAGATATATCCTGTATACAGGCATGGTACATTATAATATGTGAAAGCCATGACAGTGGCATGTAAATGCAGTGATAAATTTTTTGGACATTATCTTTCTTTTTATAGATGACATTTCTGAGACTGAACTCTTGTCTCCATCGTTAGGCGAAAATAAACTTACTCGATTGGATTCAACTGATAGAGATAGTCCCAGTCTCCAAATACCAGAAGTAACATAAAATACAATATATTGTGACATGACACCTGGAAGCCAGAGGTGTGCAATCAGAGAAGCACAACAGAGATGACTGTTGCTATACAACAGCTAGGTAAACATTTCCACAGCAACAAATACACTGGTATAAATCAAAGCTTTGCCCGGTGATTGTGACATGTTTTGTGGCAACAGACAGTAACAGAAGACGAGGACAATTAACTCTCCAGCTGGGTGTTCTGTATTCTGTCTGTATGAAATTAGCTCAGTCAGAGATTCAGACAGCCAAATAGAGAAGACTGGAGATTAGAGATGAATTCAAGATCCAGACAAAAGTGAGAAATTCGTTATCAAGAAGGAGTTCAATATGTGAACTGTAATGATCAAGTGTAATTTTAATAAGAGATGTCCATTAAATCCAATCATCAAATCTATAACCCACAATTATTTATCACGCTAACCCCTTATATGTAACAGTATAATAAACCAAATAAGATAGAACCATTTACAGGAGTTACAATAAAAAAAGATATTCAACTACATACATGAGACCTTTGGAAGTATGCTTTAAGGAGTACAGATATAATCTTATGCAAAGTGTCCTGGAAAAATCAAAATTCCACCAGATATGGTGGAAAGGATGTTACAAATTGAACCAAACAACACCTACAGCAAGTACAATGAATCATCTGATATGTCTCTGACAGCTCATCCACTCATTCAAACAAGCTCGGATATCTCTCCCATCTGGACTCCCATGATTAAAAATGAAGTTGGCAAGTTATAGATCCATCTGGTTTAAGAATATATGGAAATGTCCCAACTCTGTGCTTCATGCAATGAGTTTACATTGCTATGATGCTGGTGTTTTTATTATCAGTATTTGTTTATGTGTTGTAGGATTCTTATTTGTATGTATGAAATTTTACCTATTCGAATTCTAATTCTCTGCACTTGTTACATTAATTTCTCTTTCACTGTTATCTTATCAAAGTTCCTCAATGGGCATGGATAATATGCAGGAAAATTGATTTATGTATGTTATTATATCTTTTTTAATTTGATTGATTGGTTTCAGCTTCAATTTTAAGTTAAACTATAGGTTTATTTACCCAGGATCAAGTATTATGTATGGCCATAAATGGAGTGCCTCATGTATGTGGGTGAATATGCGTCTTTATCTTAGCTCTCAAAGGTGGTTTGTATATCATACCGTCTGTTACTTTTGGTGCCCAGTGATAGGAATTAGCTCTGACAATTGGGACTAACAGAGCAGGTTTCTTTATCTATCTTGGAGTCGAGACAGAGTCCAGTCTCAGAAATGCCATAAAGGACAATGGATAATGTCCAAAAGAATTATTATTGTTACGTACGTTATATTACATCAACATGATGTTCATTCTGAGATGAAAAGAGACCCATTTTCTAATTAAGAGTAATTGTTATTGGAATATGAGCACTGATGTTGCAAACTGTTAAGAATTAGTTTTATTGAAAAATATGGATGCAGATGTCTAATGTCTGACTGGTGTGTTCAAATTAATGATGTGAATTATAATACCAAAAAATGGTTTTCTTTCTATAGAGGAGAGAATTACAGGCTATTTAGCCCACATACAAGAGATGAAGATGCCGTTGGAGGCTAGGAGTGTTGCATATCATATGCACAGATAGGATCAGGAAATGTAGAATGTTCGGGAAAAGTTTTACATAACAGCACTGTCTTACAATTTGAATATGTTGAATGTTTTAGGAACAGGCTACCAGTTAAACCTGCTAAAAGAAAATGATTGTAATGTGGCCAGGATAACGAGCACAATCCAGGAAATTATTCCACATTCAAAGATTAAGACTGAGATGGGTACAGTGCTATGCTACATGCTGCCCTCTGAACAAACTAAACTGTTCCCTGATCTGTTTGAAATTTTGGAAAGAGATAAGCAAAGGCTAGGAATATCCAGCATTGGAGTTTCCATAACCACACTTGAGGAAGTGTTCTTGAAGTGAGTTGATGTTACTTTAATTTAGTCATAAATTTCCATAGCCATAATGTATGTGAAACATTTTCAAAGAAATTTTGTGTGAAATTATTCCACATTCAAAGATTAAGACTGAGATGGGTACAGTGCTATGCTACATGCTGCCCTCTGAACAAACTAAACTGTTCCCTGATCTGTTTGAAATTTTGGAAAGAGATAAGCAAAGGCTAGGAATATCCAGCATTGGAGTTTCCATAACCACACTTGAGGAAGTGTTCTTGAAGTGAGTTGATGTTACTTTAATTTAGTCGTAAATTTCCATAGCCATAATGTATGTGAAACAGTTATCAAAGAAATTTTATGTGTTTGAGCAGCAGACTAGTCCACTGGAAGAAGGTTACTGATATGTATTTGAGAGTGCTTGTTCCTGTAGTGAATCATGTCTCTAGATAATTCCACAGATTTACACTATGTAGTGGTACCTCAAAGTTCTTTCTTGTTTTTACTCTTAAAAGTGTGTTATAATCACAGCCACCTTCAGCCAATGATGTGTGCTTATTTCTGGCCAAGAAATTCCAAAATTTATGGTATAACCTATTAAGATCCAGTTTATCAATCAGCTTAAAGTGGAAATTTGCACTTTCTAGAATTTAACAAGCAGTATGGAGATGTTTAGCATTCACTTGCTTTAGAGCACTGTTGTGAAGAATATCAGATCCAAATTACTAAGGTAAAATAAAACTTACAGATTTTTTCATTACTTAACACATGTCAAAATGATATTAAATAATGCTTCAGAATCCAAGTTCAGACCACTAATAAATACAAATCCAAGTGACAACATAAATTGAAAGAAAATTCCATAAATTTAGGAAACAATTTAAATTCCAAATAATTCTGTCTTCTGGGATGTGGCGCCATGTAGATATTGTTTTAACCGATATTTCAGAGGAATGTATCGCCTCCATCTTCAGGGTATATAAATCTGCAAGCAAGGATCCAGCATGAGCAGGTGGCTGCAGCCATATGGTTCCTTCCTTGCGGATTTCTTATATCCTTAAGGTGGAGGCAATACGCTCCTCCAAAAAGTCGGTTAACACAATATGTACACAGCGCCACATCCCAGAAGATGGCATTCTTCATAGTCACTGCTGTCAAAACCTCAAATCTTACAATTTAAATTCCAGTAAACAAAGTGCATAATTTGCTGGTGGATAGTGCTACAACTTTCCTCAGTGAATATTAGATGCTCTGTATTATTCTATAAAAATTTAACTTTGCTCTGGAGTGAATACATGAACTTCAACTAAGCTCACTTGTGTCTGTCAGAATCATGTCACTGATTGTAGTCAAATGAATCCTCTCAAATTTATTAGTATTAATACTCTACCACAATGGAGCTGGTTGCAGTGTTGCTTCCTAAGAGAAAAGAATACTGAGAGTGGCAAGTGTCTCATTTGCAGATCTTGAAAGTTTGGTAAGTTTGATCTGAAAGTTCAATTTTTAGACAACTTAAAAAGATCAGATTGCATCTTCTATAAAATTGATAGTTATTGTTACTAACAACGAAGAGTCAATCCTGCACATTACATTATAAATTTAGTTATGGATGTACATTAAAATTTTTCTAATGAAGTTTCTGTTGTTTCATTTTTCAGAGTGGGAGAGGTGGCTGCAGATGAGCATGACAAAGACACAAACTTGAAACCAAGTAACAATGGATACATGACACTAAACCACAATTTTGAAGGTATGAATGACTTTATATCTTCTGGTATTAATTTTAAAAGTTTGTGTACTAAGATTTTCCAGTAATAAAATAAAATGTTTTGTGAGAGCAGAAACTGTTTAGGATGTAGGAAGAATTAGAACAGATCTCTCTACTAACCATATCAGCATTCAATACCAGTGCATAAGTATCTTTCAAGAGACATGAATGTCTTCCATAAGAAAGAACAGAAAGGAAAGGGTCTATTTCAGGACCCATTCAACAAGGGAATAATATAAATATGCAAGCACAGAAAGAATATCAAGAGGAACTTGCATAGGTTACATGCACAGTGTTTCTGAAAGGGCCAAATCCCCTGACTCTTAGCTAAGACCTTTGCTGTTGCCTGCTGAGAGAAAGGAGTCATGACTCTCAGTTACTATACCATCCACTATAATCATGGGCATGCATTTCTTAAAGTAAATATATTCTATAGAATTCATCATCACAGTAGGTACTCAAAATGTCTCCCTTCTGCTCTTAAGTAAACTTCAAACCTCTCAAAAAATTGTTTGATGCTGTTCACTGACCTCAAGAGATGTCTTGTTTTATGGATGTTTTGCATAAGTTTATCTAGTGTTTGAAGAGTATTTGAATACGCTTTGTTTTTTAGGTTTCCCCACAGACAAAAATCACAGGGATTTAAGTCTGGAGCCCTTGTGGCTTATCAGTCCATCTTCAAAAACTTTGTTTAAAACATTAATGGAAAAATAAGCAGTGTATGCTGTAGCGCAGTCTTGCCTAAAATAAGTGTCTTTCTCCTCCTTTTTCTTCTTCTGTAATTCCCTCAAAATAGTTCCAAAAAATGTCACTGACACATGGCTCTGACTTAGTAGTCTGTTAAAAAAATATGGATCGTACTATCCCTGCAGCAGTCATGGACATACAGTTCTTAGACATTAGTATAGGTTCAAACATAGGCATTTTAGTTGCACTCTTTAATAGATTTTATGTATGAACTGCATAGATCTTGTCATATTAAACATAACAATTGAAATTTTTTTTACACGTACATGTGTTCCAATCCCATCTCTCCAGGACAACTGTAACATTATTAAACCTCAAACAGTTTAAGTGTCAGCTGTCCTTGGTGAGGTTTTTCATAATTTATTTGAGGTGAATGCTGAGATACTTCCACATCCCTTACTTATCGTCATTCATATTTTATTTTACACTGCATAATCATAGTTTTGCAGTAGCATAAAATAGATGAGTAAGCAAGAACAAATGATCCTTTAAATCTCAAAGAATGTGAATTGATGCACCTTCCTTTTTATTTATCTTTATTAAAAAAAAAGTCCCCAGACCATTCAAGACTTACATTATTGTATAATAAGTGGTAAGTTTGAGCCTTTTATTATTCTAGTCACTAAAGAGATTTTAATCATTCCACATTACATTGATTGTGGTGTTCCAAAATATGATATGACATATTTAATGTTTGTTTCAGCTGTAACATTTAATAAGACAGTGGGGACAAGTCTGATGCTTCAACAAATAGCAGCTTTGTTTAGGAAGCGAATCCTTTACATGTACAGGGAGTGGAAGACATTCTTAATGTGGGTCAGTAATACTCTAGTACAACTGCAGTGTGTATTTTAAACAATAATGTTCTTTAAAATTAATTATGAAGAGTGCATAACTAGTATTTCTTCGTCAGAATGTTACAGACTAAAATGGCCCTTGAACAGTTTCCAAAAATGAATGATCTGCTATGTAGATATGGATAATATGAGGCTCTCAATAAGTTTCAGAAATCATATTAAGCAGTAGTTGCCCCCTACCAGCGTTCTTTTTGGGGGGGGGGGGGCTCTACAGCCCCTTTTGGTCCTGGCCTCTGATTTTTCACTTTCATCATCATTTTATAGATGGTAGGACTCCTTGGACGAGTGATCAGCTCATCGCAAGGCCTCTGCCTAAACACAGGACAACACAAACACAGAATAAACACACACACATACCAAACATCCATGCCCTTTGTGGGATTCGAACCCATGATGCCAGCTTCCCGAATGAGCGAAGACAGTACATGCGTCATACTGCTCGGCTACTGTGACCGGCTACCAGCCATTATAGAGGAGAAAAATGCTGAGAGGGATATGAAAGAACTGAGGTTGAAATTGCTATTGCAAAGTTGAAAATGTATAAACCGTCAGGTAGTAATCAAATTCTGGCAGAACTGATTCAAGCAGGAGGTGGAATATTACGTTCTAAGATCCATAAGCTAGTTAATTCTATTTGGAATAAGGAAGAATTGCCTGATCAATGGAAGGAGTCTATTATTGTACCAATTTACAAGAAGGGTGCTAAAACTGACAGTAGTAATTATCGGGGGATATCACTGCTATCAACTTCATACAACATTTTATCCAGTATTCTTCCCTCAAGGTTAAGTCCAAGTGTAGATGAAATTATTGGAGATCATCAGTGTGGGTTTCAACGTAACAGATCAACTACTGATCAGATCTTTTGCATTCATCAGATACTGGAGAAAAAATGGGAGTACAATGAGACAGGATATCAGCTATTCATAGATTTCATGAAAGACTATGATGCAGTTAGGAGGAAGTATTGTACAATATTCTCATAGAGTTTGGGATATCCCTGAGACTAGTTAGGCTGATTACAATATGTTTAAACGAATTGCATAGAAAAAGCCATATAGGTAAACATTTATCTTATAATTTCCCTATCCAGAATGGTCTGAAACGAGGTGCTTTATTGCCACTGCTTTTCACCTTTGCTTTAGAATATGCCATTAGGAAGGTCCAGGAAAACCAGGTGGGACTGAAATTAAATCAGACCATCAGCTGTTGGTTTATGCTGATGATATAAATCTACTGGGTGGTAATATAGACACCATAAGGAAAAGCACATAAACTTTAATTGACATTGGTAAGGAGGTTGGTCTGGAAGTAAGCGCAAAGTAACTAAGTATACGTTGCTGTCTCATCACCAGAATGCAGTGCAAATCATGATATGAAGATAGTTGATAGGTGTTTCAAAAATGTGGCACAGTTCAGATATTTGCAAATGACTGTAACAAATCAAAACCTGATTCAAGAGGAAATTACGAGGAGATTGAATTTGAGTAATGCTTGCTACCATTCAGTCCAGAACCTTTTGTCTTCTTGTCTGCTGTCTAAAAACATAAAAATTAAAATATAAAATAATTTTGCCTGTGGTTCTGTATGGGTGTGAAACTTGAGCTCTGACATTAAGAGTAGAACATAGACTGAGGGTTTTTGAGAACAGGGTGTTGAGGAGAATATTTGGATCGAAGAGAGATGAAGTGACAGGAGGTTGGAGAAAACTGCATAATGAGGAGTGTCATAACTTGTACTCTTCTCCAAGTATAATTAGAATGATCAAGTCAAGGAGGATGAGATGGGCAGGGCATGTAGCATGAATGGTGGAGAAGAGGAATGCATATAGGATATTGGTGGGAAAGCCAGAAAAAACAGACTGCTGGGAAGATCAAGATGTAGATGGGCGGACAATATTCAAATGGATTTTAGAGAGATAGGATGGGGTGGCATGGGCTGGATCAATCTGGCTCAGGATAGGGATCAGTGGAGGGCTCTTGTGAACACTCTAATGAACCTTCAGGTTCCATAAAATGCTGGGAAATTCTTGAGTAGCTGCTCAATTGGCGGCTTCTGAAGAAAGGCTCAGCTTCATGAGTAAGTGGGTGATAAGATGTAACTATATTATCAATAACCTAAGTTAACAGTGCGATCTTGAGCCACAAACATTTCCACTTTACTCTCTTGTTTCTCTCTGTTTTCACAATCTTTACTCTTGAATTAATTTCCACACTATTGCTTTTGTTTCCCTTGACTTTGTCATGCTGCTTCATTCTCATACTTTCAACTCTTTTTATCCTACTTTCCTTTTTTGAAAAATGAAAGGAGGCTTATGAGATCGCCTTACTCTCTGTGTGTTTATGTATGTTGTTTTTCTGTTTATATAATTTTGGGGCAGATCAAAAAGAAAACATCATCTCCAGCAGTCGCACACATCGTTTTTTGTGTGGCCCGTCTCATATCAAAGGAAAGAAAATAGGCAGTTCATTGCTCCCAGAACTTCTTGTTTCCACTTCAGTATCTAGAGATGCTGGTGGTATCCACTCTTTTTTTCATTCATACAACATTACCATATCATTCTAATTTAATATTCCTAATCAAAATTTTGTGATGACGAATGAAAGATCTGAAATTACACAGTTTCAGGTTATCACAGCAACAGACTGTCGGGTATTAACACATTGCATGAACATAAAGTACATACTAGGCCTCAAATGAGCAAATAGTTATTTGTTTCAATGTTCCATGTCTATTCTCTGAGTACTGATAACATTCTGATGTGGACCTGTGAAGTGTACTTACTATTATCATGGAAATAATTTAAGAAGATCTGGAAGATTTCTATCCTTCTCAAAACATGCCCACAGAAGATACTCATATATACCAGTTCAGTGAAATTGTGTTCAGAATTATAATCTGAAACAACTGTATAACCCAAGTGGAAACTTAATAGGTGTGTGCAGGTAATATGATGGCAATATACCTACGTGGCTAGCGGCCTCCGTAGTCTAGAGGTAACGTTCCTACCTCATGACTCGTGGTACGCGGGTTCAAATACCCGGCAGAGGTCGTCGAATTTTTAAGGGCGGAAAAATTCAGGGAACAAGTCCTCCGGGAGGGACTTTAAGCCGTGTGTCCCGTGTCATAACTTTACGGCACATAAAAGAACCTCATATTCCAAAGGAGATCACTGAGCCAAATTCCAGGACGTTTCCTGCCCAACTGTAGTCTCTAAGGCCTCTGATAGATGGGGGAAGCATTATAGACACCGCTAAGCAAGTGGCCGAACTCGTTTGCTCGGCGGGACTGATGGTACGCACCATTTATCGGTAGGGTATAGAGACTGGTAAAATATCATAGAGGGAAGCACAATGGACCAATACTGGTCTAAGTGCATGGGGAAACCCACCCTCTCCAATAACTAACTAACTACCTACATGGCTGGTTGTATTTACATCTCCATGAATAGCATAAGAGATATCTTAGTAAACTCTGTCCATATATATCCCATGTTAATTTTTAGCATATTCAGCAGCAAATAAATAAAATAATTTATGGTGTACATATATGCCTGCTACCATTATTCACTTTGATAATAGATTCTACAAGGAAATAAAAAAAGTAAGTAAAGGTATCCATGTAACAGGCCATGGAGCCCATAGGGTAGTGAGATGTTGAGGTTCCAACATTTTCTAGACAGTCGGCTCATAGATGGCAGTAAGGTTGTCAGCCTTACACACCAGCCGCCCTTTACCCCCAAGAATATTCCTGGCACTCATTTCTGTTAGAGGCTGAGTCAACCCCAAGGTCATAGTGCAGTTGGAAGGATTAGGTAAATTTTAGAAATCCACCTCATCGGGATTCGATCCTGTGACCTTCCGCCTTGTAGCATAGTGCCTCAACCAACTACACTACCATTAGATTTTACTTGAAACTGTACTGGAAAATGAGTGTTTGCAGAAGGCCTATGTGTGGAATAGGGTCTGTATTTATTTTAATTTGTCTCTAGACCAGTGCTGTCCAACTTTCTTATGTACTCAGGCACAATTCACTGATGCCTATGGAGGTGCGGGTGCCACCACACACTACTACTACTACTACTACTACTAATAATAATAATAATAATAATAATAATAAAACAATAACATTTTTCGAATATATTTAACATTACTCAGGCGTTCAAAAATGTCTCTTGTCTTACAATTTGAATTAATATTAAAAATCGGCTCAATTATATGTGGTTACGGAGGGCGCCACGTTGGACAGGGCTGCTCTAGACTATTAAGAACTTCTTCACTTACATGGTGCACACCATTAATTCCTAAGCATAAAACTGCTTTATTAATGTAATGTGTAGAACCAATTACAGGTGTACTCTTGCTTGGCATTTCCTTAATTATGAGTGCAGTACCCGTAGTATGTTTTTGAGTAGCAAAAATGTTATATCTTAAACATGCATGAAACACATTACCCTTTATTTTATTTAACTTCTAAACTTCCCCATTCTTCTAAATAATTCTATTCTACGTTGTATATGTATTTCTTCTAGTTAGCAATAACTTTCTCTGCAGGCGGAGTCAGGATACCTCAGTCAGTATAGCATCGGGCTGTGGGCTGGACAGCCAGCTTTTCATTTTTGGTAGGGGCAAAATTTTTTCTCCACAGCATCCAGGCCAGCTCTGCAGCCCACCCAGGCTTCTATCCAAGGGGTACCAAGGGGTTCTTTCCCTAGAGGTAAAGCAGCTGGGGCATGAAGCTGACCACTCATATCCATCCCATACAAGGTGCTATATTGGAAAGTTCCCGGACTAGGTCAAGAAAGAAATACTACCTTAACTTACTCAATTTTTGCTGCCATCTCCTTCAAAATATTCTCGTTGGGAATGTATACAGCGATCCCATCATTTTTTCCACTCTTCAAAAGCACCATGGAAGTCATTTTCCTTAATGCCGTTGAGTACCACTTGTGATTCCCTTTGGATGTCAGACACCATTTCAAAATGTCCCTTCAGTTTCATTTTCAATTTGGGAAAAGAAGCAAAATCACAGGGGGGCTAAGTCCGGCGAGTAGGGAGGTTGGGAAACGATAACCGTGTTGTTGTTAGTCACAAAATTTATGGTTTTCAGGGACATGTGGGCTGGCATGTTGTTGTGATGGAGCCAGTTGTTGCAACAAAGTTCTAATGTTTTTCACCACACATTTTCTTTCAGATGTCTCAAAATATCACAGTAAAAGTCAAAGTTGACCGAAATGTTAGGAGAAACAAATTCACAGTGAATAACCCACTTAATTTTGAAGAAATCAATGAGCGTGCTCTTTGTTGAACTCAAGACCTGCCACACCTATTATTATTTTTGGTCCTCATTAGCCTTCTCTCTTAGCTCAAGACATGGTTACACACTGCTGCTTTTAATCATTTGTCAAGAGTTTGGGGGACAAACTTCTTGCCAATGCAGTGCATGTTCAAATTTTCTGTTCGATCACCTGGCAAACTCCATAATTGATCCCAGTGGTGTCTGCGAGCTCATGGATTGTTCAGCGACAGTCTTCATGGATTTCTTGAATTTTTTTCAACATTTTCTGTTGTTCTCCTGGTTCTTGGTCGCCTTGAACATTCATCATCTTCAACTGACACTCAACCGGACTTGAAACGTAAATGCCATTCAGAAACCACTGTCCAGCTTGAAGAATATCTTCCAAAAACCCCACAAAGCATTTCAAGGGTTTCAGTAGCAGATTTACCTAGTTTCAGGTAAAACTTGATGCAGACACACTGCTCGATTTTGCCATCCATCACAGACAAAATGAAACACAATGTCGAAAAAGCACTCATGTAAAAACAATGTGTGTTCACAGCATGGTGTCAAGTGGCAGACTGATGCAATAGATTTGCGGAAGTGTGATCTTGGCCTCCCCTCTCATCATCTTTCACAGGGATCTTTCCAATAGCTTAATTAATGAAGCACAGGGTCAAATTTATCCCCCCACAGTGAGCCTGTATCAGATGGATTCAGTATTAATATTTTCACTTTGCTGTTGATTTCAATTTGTATTAGTTTATAGGTATTGTTTATTTTTAGTTTCTTGTTCCACTCTTCCTTAGTCACTCTCTTCTGGTTATTCCAGTCATTGTGTTATATTTGTTCACATGAGATTTGTGGATTTTCTGTGCCTCTTAAATTATATTTTCTTCTGATTTCTTGCAGGCTTGTGTTGCCATTGTATTGGCTATTCTCACAGTGGCTCTTGTGAGCAATGGCAGTTCTGAGAGTACAGGAGAACCTGCCCTCACCTTGTCCTTAAAAAGTTATGGCCAAACTGAAGTTCTGTACTCATCAAGTGTTGAATCAGCAGACTGGAATATTGATAATTCATATAGAGATACTGTTCAATCTCTGAATTCCTATGTTAAAAATCCTGGAAAGCCTATCAACCATGCCCTTTTGGAGGCTGGAGAGAACAACATCAATGATTACCATACAAAGTTTATTGTTGCAGCAGAATTCAATGCATCAGATTCACCAAATGTGGCACTGTTGAATTCCATGTATTCATCCACTGCTTTCCACGCTGCACCAATCTCTCTGAATCTTCTCACCAATGCTGTTCTCAAAAGTAAAAACCCAACCAAATTAATTACAGTTACTAATCATCCTCTGAAGGCAAAACAGGTAAAGTCGTAGATGAAATTCACTGTATCTTTGACATTTATATAATGTTAGAAACTAAGAGGTAAAACAAATGAACACTAATGATAAACACAGGTTTTATAAGTGAGCCTGGAAGACTTAATATTACTAAAGTGTACAATTTGAAGATCGTAATTCACAAGATCTGCTCCTCCTAATTTCTTTTAAAAAAATATGTAATTTTTGGCAACAAGCATATATTGCCTACCAAGAAGCATGATGAAATTGCAGTGTAATGTAGACATAATGTAGATGTCAGGAAGAAATTATACCTAATACCTAAAAATATCGCTGAATTTCAGGAATGTCTTCGCATTATTATTACTAAAGTTCAACAGTTACAAAATAACACAAACTTTATTTGGGATTATTGGCTTTTTGAGCCAATTGGTATTCTAAAGAACTCTAGGTTTTACAGTCTGGATCTGTTTCTGTCCTCAGGTGAGGGGATGGGTGTTGCCTAATCTACTGGGTCTGTTAGAAAGCACTAACCTCAGTTGCTGAGGTTAGCTCTTTCTAGCAGACCCGACAGAGTCTCCAGCCCCCCTCCTGTCATCACTGGTATATCATTCTAAAATTTGATGACAAAGGTATTGTGGGGATTTGTCATTACTCCAATGACAACCCACTTCTTCGGAAAGTTTGTAGGTCCTGAAAAGGACCGTTGGCTGCTGGGATGTTTGGCCGGTGAAGTAGCGCTACGTATGCCGGTAGAAAAGACATCTGCTTGCGGAGCGCAGTCGCAGGAGTGGAGAGGCAGTAGCTACACCAGTTGCCCAGTGAGTCGGGTATGACCGCCGGCGAGTCGAGGCAGCCGAGTTGCCCAGTGAATCGGGTGTGCCGTCGGAGAGTTGAGGCAGCCGTGCCTGGCACAGCGAAGTGCCGATGCCTCTCAAGACCGAGTGCTCTGTACGAAGTGTGATAGCAGACTGGCTGGTGTGGTCACTGCTGCTGACTGAATGCATGTGGATGTGGAGCGCGGTCGCTGGAGTGGAGAGGCGATAGCTACGCCAGTTGCCCAGTGAGTCGGACATGACCGCCGGAGAGCTGAGGCAGCCCAGTGAGTCGGGCATGCCGTCAGAGAGTTGAGGCAACCATTCCTGGCACAGCGCAGAGCCGAAGACTCCGAAGACCGAGCGCTGAGGACGAAGTGTGCTGGCTGATGTTGACTGAGTGAAGGCTGAATGAAGACTGTTCGTAGACTGCTGCTGCTGGGTTGGAGCTGCTCCTTTTTATACAAAGCGTGATGGAGGAGCGAAATTTGCAGAGCGCTGATTGGCTAGCGCGCGTAATGATGTGGATGTGGGCTAGCAGCAAGTGTTGTACAAATGCGAATGTTGGAAGCAATTTGATTATAAAGGACAAGAACCGAAGAAGTGATCAGATTCAGGATCAGAGGCGGTTGGATGAAATTTGATTGTTCGATATTGACTGTGGTGCTTAGGTGGTGCATGGGAAGAGAATTGATTGATTGAAATCTGTGGTTCTCGAGATTAGATTGGTTAATGTATTTCAGTCTTGCAAACGGATGTTTGGACGTGATTGATTGATTCACGGGAGAGGAGCAATTTACATTTGGAGGTTCATCAACTGATTGTCTGTTTGACTATTGGTGGTCCTTGTTACAGTCCTTGTTAGTAAAATTCTTAGTTTTTGCGTGAGGCTTGTGTTTCATGCCGTGCCGTGCCAGACATGGCGGGCGCCTCAGTGCCTGGCTACCATGCATTCTGGGCAGAAAGAAGAGCCTCACTACAGGCAGAATACGTAAGTCAGAAAACCCCATTAAGGCTGTAATCCGTCACCTCCCTCACAGTACCCCAGCAGAGGATATTTCTAATGGGTTGGTGACCTGGGATTTGATGTGGTTAGCGTCAAACCACCCGAGGGTCGCCTTCAGAAGAAAGGATAACCAGAAAACTTCCCATCTTCCTTATCACCCTACCCGGGACGGCAAAATCACAAGAAATCTTCAAACTACAAAGCCTTTGCCACATTTCCATCCGGGTTGAGGTATATAGAGCACAGAGTGGCCTTACACAGTGTCACAATTGCCAACAATTTGGCCACGTCTGGGCCAATTGTAAGCAACCTCCCCGTTGCATTTGGTGCGCGGGTGGCCACCTGCACAAAGAGTGCCCTGAGAAACAGAACGCTGCCTCCACTCCAGCGTGCTGTAACTGAATTGAAGGATGGAGAGAAACTGCATCCCGCCAACTACCATGGCTGCAGACATGCGAAGGAGGAACTGCAGAAGAAGAAATTGCAGAGAGCACCCAAAACCACAATGGGAAGGGTGTTCTCATCAAATATCGTTACCCCTGGAGTCTCCTTCGCGGCGGGGCTCCGAGGCAACACATCACAGGAGCAGCGGTCTCAGACTCGCCAAACACCAGTGGCAGTTCCACCAGGAGCCACAAAACCGAGCGTCCCGGTCCCTGTACAGGAACAACACACAGGTCAGTCAGTTCAGGCTCCTCATGTAAACAGTCAATCTCTCGACAATATGTTGAGAGTAGTGACTGTAGTACAGCAAATTATGACAGAGGTCAGTGGTGCAGTGTCCGAGGAGGGCAAAATAATGACCATAACTAAAATTGTTCTAAGCCTCCTGAAACAAAATGGCCACTAGAGTTCATAGGCCATTCAAAGTCATAGCATTTAATACGAACGGCATTGGGAGGCAGCGTTATGAGCTCAGTTAACAGCTGCAAGACCTACACATAGATGTGGCCCTGTTTTCAGAGACACATCTGAAACTTCATGAGAGGTTCTTTATTCCAAATTACCACTTTTATAGAGTCGACCGCCACTCGGGCAGAAAAGGAGGAACTGCTGTTGCAGTAAGTAGAGGCATTCCCCATAACCATGTAGACCTACCACCCCTTGTTTCAGTAGAAGTGACAGGGTTCTGCATACCAATTGGAAATGGTGAAGTACTGCTTGCAGCTGTTTATAAATCTCCAGGCAGAGCCTGGAGTGATGCTGACATCACTGAGCTCCTAAGCTTTAGACATAAGTCTCTTTTGGCAGGTGATTTGAATGCTAAGCACCCATTTTGGAATAGCAGAGTTTCAAACCCCTCAGGCTTGAAACCAATGAATTTATTTGATATGAGTCAATTGGGTCACCAAATCGATCAGGTGAATGACCCGAAAAAAGGCACTTGAACGGTGGGAAACAAAACTAAATAACGCCGAAGTCACACCTCAGGGTATATGGCCCATTGCGAAATCTCTTCTTAAAAGAGACGGACCAAGGGCGCCAACTTCTATTCATGGTTCTTCTGGCCTTAAATTTCACCCTTCTGATAAAGCCAACACAATTGCCGACTGTTTGGAAATTCAGTTCTCGCCACATGATCTGTGCGATGATAACGATGAACGGCAGGTGGAGGCTAGAGTTCAAGCTCTGCTGGAAACTGTAGACATACCCACCCAAAAGATCAGACCATGTGACGTACAGAAATTAATAAAATCTCTTAAATTAAAAAAGGCCTGTGGAATTGACGGCATCCCAAATGAATGCCTCAGGCACCTTCCAAGGCGACCATTGGTTCATCTAACCCATTTATTCAATCACTCCCTCCAGCTTTCTCATTTTCCAACAACTTGGAAGGAAGCAAAAGTAATAACTTTACCTAAACCGGGTAAAGACCCGAAATTTCCTCAAAATTTACGTCCGATCAGCCTCCTGTCCACGACAGGAAAACTATTCGAAAAAGTAATTTTGAAATTCCTCCGTAAACATATTGAAGACAGAGGCCTGCTCAACGCAAGCCAGTTTGGTTTTCGTGCATGTCACAGCACGACATTGCAATGTATGAGGCTGGCGGACCACGTGACCCTTAATTTCAACAATAAAATTTCTACGGCCTTTGATGCCATGTGGCACTCAGGATTGATGTATAAGTTATTGAAATTGGAATTCTCGAACAGTTTGACCAAACTTATCGGGTCCTTTCTTTCTAAACGTAAATTCAGTGTCTCGGTCGAAGGCGAATTGTCAATGCCAAGGAAAATGCAAGAAGGGGTGCCACAAGGTTCGGTCCTCTCCCCTACTCTTTTAAACTTGTATATTACTGATGCNCATTTGTAAATAGTGCAAAATATCTAGGTGTAATCTTCGATAAGAGAGTTTCATGGAGATTGCACATAGAAATGATCGAAGCCAAGGCCTTCAGAACATTCATTAGAGTATATTCCTTATTCAAAAGTGAGCGATTGAGCGCTAACATTAAACTGACCCTCCACAAAGCTCTTATTAGATCCGTAATGACTTATGTTAGTCCCGCCTGGGAGTTTGCGGCAGACACCCATCTAGTGAAATTGCGGCGCCTGCAAAACAAGGTTCTCCGCACCATTGGCAATTTTCTGAGGCGCACACCGGTCCACAATTTGCACATGGCATTCAAAATCCCGTTCGTATATGACTTTATAACAAAATTATGCAGGCAACAATCAGAAGTCGTACAAAATCATGAGAATGAGAATGTTCGCAACATCGGACAAGGCGAAGCCCACCGCAGAAAGTAAAAGAGGCTTAAACATGGGGGCGGTCAGGCATACGACCATTCAAGTGACTAGACTGCCGTGGTAGCGAATAATACTGGAAATAAGGCGTAATCTGCTGTACTGAGCCTGGACTGACAGAGGCCTTTTACACATATATATTGTACATAAAAATAAAAAATAGTGTGTATTGTAAATTTATGTAAATACAGACACTGGACATATTAATACAGACTGACTGACAAATGACAGACCCGACCCCTCATCAGAGAGGGCTCCCCACATAGACAAGACTGTAACTTTCATTCAAAAGAAATATCTGGTCATGAGCCCCAGCTGGGGCTTGACACCAAGACAGACAGACTGACTGACCGTCAGTTGCAACATGACTTTGACTTTGACAATTTGATTGGTTAGCACACGTGATGGTGAAAAGTGAGTTGAATAGTGAGCATTGTAGAAATAGCGTGATATGTGGGATGCTCCCACAGTATGTTACTCTTGTTATTTGTTGTTGTTGTTGTTGTTGTTGTTGTAGTAGTAGTAGTAGTTGTCATCGTTGTCATGTGGATGATCATACTCCAGTGTTTTATTTTTACTTTCATTTTTTTATTATTATTATCCCCTGGCTGTTAAATTCAGCACATTAATAAATAAGTAAATAAATAAATAAAGAATTGAATTAGATTGCTGCTGCTGTTGTCATCTTCACTGTCATCGTTTTTATCATCATGGCGGTGGCAGTGGCTCTTCATCAATGTCTGATTGATAATATGAAGCTGCAGTAAATCCATGGTCCTCTCTGGGAACATGGCTGATTTTCCCCACTGCTTTTAGCTTTATCTTGGTTTCCTGGAAAGTAATTCTATAATTTATTTTATTATATTGGTTGACTTCTTTGTCCATCTATGATCATATGGTAGATTATTTTATTACTTATTTCCCAGTGAAAATTATGTCAGCTCTTTTTATATCTCTGTCTTTTCTTGCTGCTTCTGTGACTACTTATATAGATTGGCTTTGCCTAGTGGTCTGAATAGTACAAGCTTCTCTTTTGCTTCAGGATGGAGACAGAATCACTCTCTGAATTGTAGTGATGTTTGGACTTATGTATGTTATATCACACAGTGTATTAAGTTTCAAATAATGTATCATACTAATAACAGTCACTTTCACATGTATGTATGTATGTATAAATGAATGTGAATGTGAATGTATGATACCTAACTGAAAATAGTTCAAATTGAAGTTTCAACATCTGTCTTCCAGGAACAGGAATCAAATGTATTGGTGTATACAGGACCAGACTACAGCATTATGTCATTGTGGATGGTTCTGATGCCTTACAGCCTACTCTTCCTCACAGGGAGCTTTATTAGATTCCCCTCATTAGAGAGAGTGTCCAAAGCTAAGCAGCTGCAGCTGATGACTGGGGCCTCACCCCTTGCATACTGGTTCACATGTTTCATATGTGATTTCCTTTACTACATAATTGTAGCAAGCATCATGGTGTTGGGAATCCTTGTTGCTGATCCACTTGATGTCTTTAATGGGTCTGAAGAACTGGGTATGTATGTATGTATGTATGTACGAAGGGGGACCCAAAAATAACCGGAACCGACCTGTTGTGCGCGCATGCTTTGTAGTTACGAGTTGTGCTGCTAGGTGGTGTTAGCTGGGGGTCTCCCGCGACTGTTAGTGAGCTGGCGTCAGTCTGAGTTAAGTGGTTTGTCTGTGGTGCTCTGTTGTGTGCGTTCCTGTTTCAACCCTTTGGCGATTAGTGAGATGGCCGACCAGAAGGAACAAAGAGTGTGCGTGAAATTTTGCTACCCGTAGCACCAAGACTCATCGCCAGTCACAATTCTTTTAAGAAATTCTGGATCGTTCTGCACTTCACTCTTCAAGTCGCGGCAAACATTCACGCGGTTTTCTCTTTGGTCATCTCCGAGCAAGCGAGGAACAAATTTTGCAGACATCCGTCTCTTGTGCAAACCTTCGGTTAAAATTCGCTGGACCATGCTCCATGAGATGTTCGTTTCCTCAGAAAGTTGGTCAATGGTCTTTCGACGATCTTCATCAATTGCACGTTTGATTTTGGCAATGT